GTTTGAAAACCACAGAATAATTGTGACCAAGATTGAAGTTGAATTTCCAAACCCAGCCACGCCTATATCAATAGAAACATCCGTTGTTGTATTTTGGTGTTTGCCAGAAGAACTAACTACGTTGCAATAATGTTCTCAACTGAAAATAAAAATCGTCTCTTAGATTTATAAAATGAAATCTTTGAATTGTTTAAGAATGCTTAATTTTTGAGGCACAAGCTTTAAATTTGGTGTTAGCATCTAGAGCCAAGACATTTAACAATTGGGCTTCAAAATTTCAATTTAAGTATACAGAAAAATTCTCTACCGCTTAATGATAAACTCAAAAAGTATTTTATAGAAAAGTACTGTATATTTTGTATGATGCACCTGCCCTCAGTAGATTACAAAGAACGCACGAATCGAGTACAAATATTCTGCGATATTGTTCAGTTGGTTATTCCGTACATTATGTAAGGAAAAAAAAACCTGTTTGACCGGTCGGCTGCGCGCGGTACACTTCGTTTTTCCCAATTTTTTAAAAACGCGCATGAAATAAAGAAGTTGATGAAAAATGTGTTTTGAGTCGCCCTTTACGCTCAAATACGGCACAACTCGTAAAAATACTCAGTAGTACCACACACCAAAACGTCTCATAAGACATCTTTTGCGAGTACTCTTTGAAGTTGGTTTTAGTCTCAAGGGCTGAGACAGTAAACATTTAACCTTCAAGATCTTTTCAGTATATCAAGGTCAACATCAGTTACTGATTAAATTTCGTAGCTATTCGAGAAAAAAGTCATCTTTTTGGGGGTGTGCTACATAAATTTGGTCTTTAGCTTCAACAGCAAAAAAATTTGTCAGTTGGGCTCTAAAAGTTTTGAATGAGGAGAGAATATTCTAATTTTGTCAAAAAAAACTTTACCTAGCTACTAAAATTATCAGTGGTTTGAAGAAGAATTCAAGAAATAGATTGAGAAATAACACTTTTTGGAGCTTGAATTTGATATTAGCTTCAAGACATTAGACAATTAGGCCGAAAGGTTTTTACTGGATGAAGTGCACAAGATTTAATTTTGAAAGAGAAATCATAACACCATCAAACTTTTCAAGGATTTAAAAATAATTCTAGACAAATGTTTAAAACAACGTCGACTTTGAAACGTATTCAATTCAGTTTGAACATCAAGAGGTGAGACATTTGATAATTAGGCCACGTATGACGATCGTTTGCCCAACAAAAACAAAATATTATCATAAATATCATACTCCATTGTTTTACGTTCAACAGAAACAATGTGGTAGTATTGATTCATCAACCTAACAGTGCTGTAAACGACTGAAAATCGCCATAATCAAGGAGAGATTCAACGGAAATAAAACGTTGAAGAAAACAAAATCATTTCTTTGTTTAGAGCATTCCTACATTTTTAACTCTGAAAACTGAATTTTGAATAGCAGAAATTCGTCACATCCAGGTTGAAGCGTTCATTACAGATCAGCAGACCACACTCACAAGTGCAAAGAGCTAATTTTTATAAACAAACAAAATGTAATAACTTACCGTCTTAAAGGTTTTCATGTACTCCTTTCCTCTCTTGAATTCCTCGATTTAGCGAAACCCCATTCTACGCCTGACGCTGTGCTGATGAGAGAAGTTAGTGAAATTTATATTGTGAAAATGTACACACCTATTTCAGGGTTAATCATAACCATTACAGTTTCCTCAAATGTGATTGGTACATTAGCTGCTTTATTTTTCACTAATCAGTCTATAGAGTTATTATTGGACAATGTAATTTGACAGTTGGCTGTAATCGGACACCTGTAATCGGACAGTTGAAGCAGCCAATCATACTTGGTCCTTTCAGTCAAATCCACCAATCACAGAATTGATCACAATAACCATACCAACAACCACTTATCCTAAAAAATCATAGAATTTTTCAAAGTTAAGGAATTTTTTACTTAGACGTTGTTTCCACTGCACATATTTGTCCTAAATGTATTTGTTGTTTTCGTAAATTATAACAGTTACGATTAATTGGTAACAGTACTTTGTGCCGTCCAATTCTGTCTGCAATCATACTCCGGATTGACAAATCAGACTCCCGCTTCGTGGTCGGCCAATTTTGTTGATCACTCGTATGATTACAGACCGAATTGGACTCCACTCGATCCTATTACCATTATAAGTACTTTTCATTCAGCATGAATGATGAGGATCATTCTCGGGATCACAAGACTCATCAGATCCATCATCTTTTCGATTGACAATCAATCGTCCCTGATATATTGAACGATGGTATAACAGGAAACTTCAAATTTCTCGGTAAATGCTCCTTTACAATAAACAAGGATCTCCAGGCTCACTTTGACTCTTGATACTCAACCTTAAAAATACTTGGGTATTTGGGCGGCTAAATCGTTGCCATGGTAATTTGGTGAGACTGTGTGTGTTTATATGATACTATTGTCAAGAGAGATAGGTTTCATTGCTTCATCAAAGGAATAGAGCTGTAAACCATAGCAGACAGAGATCGAGGAAGTCACTGACTGAAGAAATATTTTTACTGCTTTGTTTGTAGTTTCTATTATTTTTGACCTTGGTTAGCTTCAGATTACAAAATTGGTTACAGCCAGACTTACATGTTGGAAGCCTGGCTAAGTTAAATCCGCGAAAAACTACTGAAATAGCTAACCTTGTTGGAAATCATTCTTTTCTCTTTCATTCCTTACAGTACTTGATTGCAAGATTTTTTTCCATCCCATGACGCTGTCCTAAGGAGTATAAAGAGAAATGTCATAAGAATATATGCACACCCATCCCAAGGTAAGTGCTCTCTAAAAGTAAAAGGAAATGTTTGAAAGAAAAACTTAGTCGGATCCCTTTATCTGATATCGACAATGGGTGTCAACAGGAGGAAGTTATTTTTCTGGGAAAACTCTTCACAGAGGTGCCCATAAAAACTACCAGATTATAACAATGATATGCAAGCACGTTCAAAATTTCCATATGGGATACTGGTTCATAATATGCTATCCGCAAGTATTTTATCAGTTATTTCTGACAAGTCACCGGTAGCAAGTCGCACTCTCGGGAGGAGAGAGCCACTGAGAGAGTCAAGTATCGTAATCAAGGTCACATGATCTGATATCCATACTGGTGTTGTCATGCATTTTACAAATGAGCCTCTGGCTCGGATGTAAGGGCAATCTCATTCCACGTCATGACGTTTATAAATCGATTGAGTCATTGATTCATCGATACAGATAATGGATTCTAATTAAAAAAAAATATAAGCAACTCAACCTTTTTTTCTGGCGGAGATTGGAAGTAGGTAAAATAGCTGGAGTGTTTAAACAAATTTAACGTTAAAATACTACAGTAAAATAAACTTTGTACGAATAATAAGTAAAGAATTAAAAATAAATGGGTCATAAAGCGATCAATACATCCTCACATTTCTCGCTCCTGCTCCAAAAGTCACGTGGTTCATCAAGAACTGTCATGGCGGCTACTACCGAAGATTTGTCTCACTCTGAACTGTAAATGACATGCTCTTCCTTTTAACTCTTAGGTCTAAGAATTAATTTCACTGGAGCAACAACGAGAAACACGAACACGATATTTCCATCCAAAATGAATGCATGTGTAAGTTATTTACCTTGAAAGAGCCGTGACAAAATGACATCCATCCGTCCTTCTTCTTTGTCCAATTCAAACCGTCAGCGACCTCGAAGAAACACTGTCCCGCCTTGGAAGAACAGACGGTATCCGAGGTGTTTGGATTGGAACGAAATATCGAAATATTTCCTGGCCCCAGAGAAACTGTAAAAGACGCTGACATTTCTTGTAGCTCGTGAGGTCTTTCCACGTGCTCGACTGGTCTCAAATATGAATATTGATGTTTCGAAAATTTATTTGTAATTTAAATCAGCTTTCCGACCGAAAATCGTCGGAGAACACATCGTTAACTTTCATTAAATTTTGAAAGGACATGGATGAGGTGACTAGCTGTAGAATAACATTTAACTCAATCATTGAATTGCAATCTTTTCGCCCACAATTCGATTCGCTAGCTTTCAGTTCGCCAACGTCTTAGGTCAGTTCGCAAACATCTCATGGGTCACTTCAATAACGTTTCCGGTTATTTCACTGACGTCTCTTTTTAGTTTTTTTTCTTCGAAGTAACGACAAATGAAATGTTGTACCATAAACATACGAGTAAAACTCGGCCTAGAATGGACTGTAAAAGTCGCAGCGAGTTCGAGATCAACCTACCCTGATACATTGAATAAAGGCTAGTACATGTTCATGATCGACTACATTTCATGACAAACTGAAGTGACACGATTCAGAAAAGGCTATTATTTTTCCCGGATCGCGTGTTACGCGAGTCGCATGCGTGTGAGATTCGCTCATTTTCGGCGCTTCACACTTTGGTTTGTTGCACCGTCAACGAATCAGTGAAAACCTCCAAACTTATCCTTTTCTATGCACAGAAATGACTTGAGTCGTATTAAATCGAATTTCTAAGGGTATTGAATTGACTTTGACGATGTATCGAATCGACTTTAGTTTGTCTTGAATCGAATTGCATCGAATCGACTTTCAGTTTGTGTCGAAACGACAAAACTCCTCAACGATTATTTAGTCGATTGGAAGTATATCAAGTTCTGCCGATGGAATCACTAACAGATGATAGGAAACTGCCCTGATACGTTGGCGAACTGGTCGTTAGCGAAACGACTCGTAGGCCGCGAAACGACCGGTTACCGCTCATTTGGTATCTCTGTTGCACTATATCTTTAAGTTTGGGGGGTGGGAGGCACGCGGGACGTAAACTTGATTCTTAATTGACCCCTTTCAAGTAAACAAATCTTAGAATCATTTGTCTTTATTGGGTAAAAAACTTTTTTCAATCATTAGTTACTTGCACTATAAAACAAACTACTTAAACAAATAAACAAAAAAATAATAATACTAAGGAAATATTTAAATATACTCAGATCAAACAATGGGAAAGTTCTCTGATGTTCAATCGTAGCACTGCGAATTACGTCTATGAAGAGAAAATCAAACGTTCACCAAAGTTGACCATGCTACGCTACGCTTTATTGTTAATGTTATCTCAGCAGAAAGTAACTTCAAATCAGGTTTTCAATGTTGTGAATTCGAAATCTACAATAGTAAACTACTTTTGTTAAGATCTTCTCTTGAATATATCATATTTAGAAGAATACTAATTCCTATTAAGCAGACGAGTGTTGATATTCCACCCATTACAATATACTAGTTTTCATAATTACATCTGTATAAATAGCTTTAAAAGGATGACTGAGTTTGTCGCAGTAAATGTGAAAACACGATTTCTACGATCCCAACTATGATGAAGACGACTCTTGTCTACACTGTAGGTTCCTTTTGCCATCTTTTCCTGCTCAGTGTAATTTAAGCCCTGTTGTAACTATGTTGTCAAAAAAGTGAATAAACTACATCATCTTCAAGCCAATATAGGACTATAACGAGAACCCAAGATCAACCGTCTGTCCTGGTTCCAAACGGACGATATGGGTGTGTTGCCTGGGTGCACCGTAGCGGCCAGCGGAAACTGCATAACTGCCAGGTGCTACTTCTACCTGGACGTCTTCCATTCGTTGGAGCTTGAGGTGAAGAGAATTAAGAAAAGGTATATATATCGAATATACGCTACTACAATGCATAACAGATAAAATGCTATTTGATTGAAAGATGCCACGAACTTGTATGCTTTCAACAGTCATTCTACTTTATTCGACGGGTAAAAATATATGATCAATGAGTGTGAAGAAAAATTGAACGGGGAGGGTAAAATAAAAAAAAACAAAATTAAGAGTAACAAATTGCCTTACGGAAAGGAATGCTGAATAATATACCAAAAGTGCTAAAGCTTCCGTTTGTTAAAAAGAGAGAGAATATCATTGACTTAGGAGCAAGCATAAATTGGAGTCAGCCTAAACAGTTTTTGCCGTGTGCAATCACTCCAGTGTCTTTCTAATGCAATTGTTTTGTTTGTCTGTGATTGTGGCATTGTCTGAGTTACCAGTAAATATGAAGTTCAGAGTCCATACATGTTTTGTTACGTTCAAACCTTTGATATTAACTTTTCTTCTAGTGCCAGATGATCTGTTGGTTTCGCCAATGAAATTCCATAGACATGACGCACAAGGACATTTATAATCGACATTTTGCTTGTCATTCTCACGAGGGCGAAACTTAGTGACTAAAATTCCTAGTTGTAGTCTTCTTATGGGTTTATAGGTAACTTAAGAATAATAAATATCTTAGAAAAAATTGAGGAAATCTAAAATAGAATACTAGTTAACACAACACCCTTAAACGTTAGAGCTACAATGTATTTACTTACGGGGTGTGGTCGTGTGACCAGGTTGTAACCTGGTTGATGAAATCTGTTGCAGTGATTTACATCCTGAGCATTGCAGTCTTCCGTTGATCTACAGCGGAAATACCGCTAGGAAAAACAAACACACTACATATAAGAGAGTTGATGACTTATCTCAGCCCACACACTCGTTTTCCCTCTCGTTTGAGCAATTTCAAAGCAGAGTTAACTTTAACGTTATATTGTAAAGATCATTTGGATGAATCTTTTTTGGTCACAAGCTTCCGTATTTGTAGTATGTCATGTTTGAAGGGAAAACTTGAGATTTCTTAAGCCTTTCATTTCCTATGCTACAATAAATCGAGATCAAGCATTCAAATAATTTTTTCATCCCCGTTTTATAAATAGTCTACTCGACTTTGGCGATTTTCAAATAAAGTTAGAAACAGTAATGTCAAAAAGCACCTTAAGTGAATGTTAAGACCAATCCAATTCAAATATAAACCTATCTTGGTACTGTTAATCATCACCAAATACGGTATTAGTATGAATGTTATCAATAGATTATAATCTCCTGTGTTATACATTTTTTCCTTTCCATCCATGATGCACGATAAAACATGCAGCAAACGAGGGAACCAATTAGAATGCATAGCCAGCGAGCAGGCCCTGGTTATCAGCGCTTCTACACGAGCTTTTCTACACCCGCGGGAAAGTATGAGACCTTGAGCAACGCAAGCAGTCGAGAGGTCTGTGATAATAATGTATGACAAAGCGTACCATTGCAAGCTAGTTTAAGTATAGCCATACCCTCCCCCCGCTAAAATGAAACGGAAGAGGGGAGGGTACGGCTACACGTAGGCTACCCGCAGGTATCATCTCGTTATCAGCGCTTCGATACCTGCAGGGAAATATGAGGCCTTGAGTAATGCAAGTCAGTGGGAGGTCTGCATGGAATCTGGCACTGATAGTTAGTGCCAAACCCCAGCTAACCTCTCCCCGACTTGTTCCAAATCTTCTCGCGGGCGGAGAAACGCACGTCCTGAAACACTAATGACGAAGGCCTGTTTGAAGGCTATCAGAATGCACTGTTTGGATTACATACATATTACTAAAAAGAGATTCACCATTATTTGAGGTTTCAGTGGGTGGAGAATAATTGAAGTGCCTTGCAAAAAAATGTTCAACCAATGGCAAGCTCATGGGCAGGACCATGGGGCCAGTTGTTTGAAAGAAGTTAACTTCCAATTTTGAATTGGAAGTTAAACTTGATGTAAGTTTCTCGTGAATAGAAGCATACAGTGTATATTTGGTGGATTTATTTTCCAAACTTTAATAAGAAAAGTTTTCAATAGTCTCTGAAAAAAAAAAGCTGCTTACAGCGAGCTGGTCAACACATTTTAGGGCTATTGACATATGGGGCTCCATTCAAGTAAAGAGGAAAGAGAAAGAGCTGTCTAACCCTGAATAAGTATAAGAATGTTCTAAACACCTCTGCGTGAACTATGTGATCTATGGTGCAATGCAAAAGCCTTGAGGCTACCTTTTTTATAGCAAAGAGAAGGATAGGAACTGGTAATTTTTGTACCAAGCACAGCTTCCAATGCTTACCTTGCACTGTCTGCTTGTTACATTCATGTACTGCAGCACTGTGTCAAATGCATCTTCTATTGTGGTGTGCACCATGGGTTCCTACCATAACAGTTAGATGATTAGTCATAATAACATTAGGTATACCTTAAGATGTTCAAAGGTCAAGAGTTCTCTTCTGCAGGTGGATAACTTAGAATGTAAGGTCTACAAGATCTTAGTTTCAAAGCTTGAATACTCAAAAAAATTGCTGGTCAATGTGTAGAAAGTCACAGTTGCTGATCTCCCCTTTCATAGAAAAATACCCATGGGGTAGGAATTTAAAAAGAGAAATTTTCAAAATTTCAGATGCCAGGGGTGGTTGCACGGAGGGGGGATGATAAAGCTTTGAATTGATCAAAGCATTTGTCAAAGAGTTCAACTGAGTATTTTCTATCATTATGTAAAAGAAATAATTTCAGAATTTTTTCTCTTAAAAAGGTTGACTAGATCAATTCATCATAGCAAGCATTGTCAGCAAATCATAATCATGTACCACTCAAAACTGTGATTCTAACCAAGAAGAAAAAAGTCAAACTATGAAGAAATATAAAAAAAAACTAAACAATTGTCTCTTTTTTCAAGGAATAACCTAAGGGGAAAGAATCTTTTTGCATGTGGGAATGAATGTACGAGCCCAAAACAAAATCAGCAAACATAGAAATATACATCTGAGTGATTTGGTATCCAAAAGCAAAAAGGTGTCTTCATATTTGTATATTGTACTCATTCAATTAAGTGGCCAACTTCAAAAAAGTACCCACCTTGAATAAGCTCCCAACCCTCCCCTCTCAAAAAAACTGAAGTGCACAAGATGAGTATTGATTGCTACTTCTTTACTGGCTTACAATATCTAAATTCACTGTCTATATTATGGTGCATCTTCCCATTTTGTTACTATTCATTGTTTTGTGGCAAAATACTCTAACTACTGTAACAACTTGTTCTTACTGACATACACTTGCTGAAAATGGTGAGAATTGAATAAGCACCCAGCCCCTAATAAGCACCCACCTCACATATTAAGCAACCACTCTTAAGGGCTAAAACTTAAAGAGGCACCAAGGGGACTTATTCAAATAAAAATGGTTCATAAATTTGTTTTTTAGGCTACCTGTGAGGAGTGAAATGAGGTATTTGTTTGACTTGGCCACTCCACCTTTCTTTGCAAAGCTTTATTAAGAGTGGATGCACCTTGCCTCCCTGATCGACACATGGTACAGTGAAGCCAGCTGTCTTCATTCTGCAAGGAAAATTAATGCAAATGCCATGTTACTGGGTGAGGCAAATAAGCTTTGAGCCCTTGAAACTTAACTTGAAACTTGCGGCTTAATTAGCAAGTTTCAAATCCACAACTGACAAATGTATCACTTATTTTAGCAAACATATCTGTAAAAATTACCCTAGTTAGTCATTTTAACCTTATTTTGTAATAATTAAGGCAACTTTAAGAATGTAATTAATACATGTGCTGATTTGTATTGAATTTAACACAAATCACATTAGCCAAGTTTGCCATTGTCAGCAAAATTAAAATCAGGCAAACCTTAACCAAGACAGAATTTCTCCTTACAATATCAATACAAAGTTAACCAGAAAGTGATAAGAATAAAGAAAAATATCAATTTGGAGATAATAAGTTGATCCAGTACTAACTTCTCTGAACTAACATTATAAGAATCGTATGGTTGATATTTAGGAGAATTTACAAATTTGATCTGGGAGTTAAAGGATTAAAGCTCTCTCTGGACATGAAATTGTTTAACTTACTGGGCTGGCTCACTGAATCATCCCAGATTTGTGTTATTTAACCCTAACATACACCTTTTAATTAATTCTATATAACAAAATTTTTGAACAAGACTGGTTATCACTAGCCTAATTTAAGCACTACTGGGTCAGTGTAAGTATCATGCTTACAACCACAAAGTGGGAATCCAATTTGTTAATCACAAGTATGATTGTATGATTACAGACAGAATTGGACAACATGAAGTCCTGTTACCAATTAATCAAAACTATGACAAATTTGAGAAAGAAACCAGACATCGATTATATGTTTCCATAAAAAAAAAAACAATTAACTCAGCAAAATGTGAGACAACTGTGCACAAAAATGATGCATTCTTTCCTCTTACACAGGCATGACGTGTTAACTGTTAATTGTATATGTGACTGTTTTGAGCATATCACTGAATTAACAGTTTCTTAGTGTTATGAAATCATGTAGCTAGTATCTTAGTGTTATGAAAACATGTGGCTAGTTTGTTTCTTACATATTACTATAGCTTTGATTTATTGGTAACAATTTTGTGTCATCCAATTTTGTCAGTAATCATAATCATGATAAACAAATCAGACTTCTGTTTAGTGGTTGATTTATTTTGGGTTCATTACCCATATGATTACAGACTTAATCAAAACTATGACAAAATTTCTAATGCAATTAGTTATCACCAGCCTGATTTGAGCACTAATAGGAGAGTGTACACATCATACTTGGACAGTGTAATAGAAAAGTTTAAGGGACAGTTGACGTGTCATACCTGTGTAAGTGGACAGGATGCATCATGTGTGTGTGCTGTTTCTCACATTTTGCCAAGTTAACTGTTGCTTATTTTTTTCATTAAAGCATATACCCAATGTCTAGTTTTTTTCTCAAATTTTGTCATAGTTTTGATTAATTGGTAACAGGACTTCGTGTTGTCCAATACGGTCTGTAATCATACTCGTGATTAACAAATCGGACTCTCCCTTAGCAGTCGTCTAATTTTGTTAATCACTTGTATGATTACAAACCGAATTGGCTCCAATCAGTTCTATCACCATTACAAGTAACTGGGTCCCACACGTGTTGTGGACCTATAAGTGCAGCTCAAAGTTAAGATAAGGGGAACAAAATATGCGCGTTAAACTCGTATAGAACGCGTATCTATTATCCATCCACGTGAACATGTCCTAAAGTGAAATCGTTCCACTTCAAAACCTTACAAATGTGAAAATTTAAGCGAGCTAACCTACACCTAACGTGTTTACGATAAAACTAAGTTATAAACACAGAGATTCCTCTCGAGGATCGATGGAAAATATTTGGCCATAGAACTCGTGGACATTTATGACTCAAGCACTGAGTGATGCATATTTGTACGCTTCTCGATATGAATATCTTAATGAAGTTCAATTAAATTCAAGGCGACTGGTGTGTTGTGGTTTGTTGCCTCTGCAATAAAATTCCTTCGACGTTGATGTTGAGTCCACAGAGGCGACATTCAAAATTTGGACCGAGATAAGTGTAAAAAAAGTTTTCTAAAAATATAAGTATTCTATATTCTATTTTAGCAATAAAAGGATATATCAAGTTTAAGTATTACCTTCAAGGGCATGATGTCCAATCCTTCTTCTATCGTCGCCTCCGCTTTTAACCGTTGTTGTCAAATGCAGTCGTGCAACGCGCCAAGGACGCGCGAACCATTAGGCACCTTCGGGGGTAGGGATAGTATCAACAACATGCAGTATCAAGTCCTCAGCCTTCAAAAACATATCTATCCAGTGAACTTCGGTGTTTCGGTTTGAATTTTTGGTTTTATGAGTAGTTTCTAATTTATATAAAAAGCGATTGAATCACGACTCAAGGCAACATTGTAGTTCAATCGTAGGCAACACCTCCCACTTGGTAGGAATTTGTCTTGATGCGAATGTCAGCGGTATCTGCGTTAGTCTCTTGGCGACTGCATGGCAACATAACATGCTTGGCACGCGCTGAAATGTAGAAGTGTATTCGAGTGTGATACTGTACATTGCGATCAAACGTTCCTTTACAAAATGGTAAGCCCTTCTTATGGCCAACTAGTTGCCCCTCTTCGTGGAAGGCCAACGATATTCGGTAATGTATACGAAAAGAATGTTGTGTTTCTTCTCGACACATCTGGTTCCATGTACCATAGTCTCGATGTTGTCAAAGAACACTTGCTCGAAGTTCTGTTCGCGCGGGCGATTTCTGACAGAGATACCATGTTCAACATCATTGAATTTAACGAAGAGGTAAACAAATGGGCGGACAGATTAGTGACATGTACTCCGAGGACTGTGAGTGTCGTTAGTGAATGGATCCACGAACTGAAATGCGGAACATCAACAAACACCATGGAAGCTTTGATCGAAGCTTATGAAGATGATGGAATGGATGCTATCTATTTAGTCACTGATGGCCTACCCGATCAGAGTCCTCCAGTTATAATAGAAAACGTCCGTCGCCTGTACAAAGGTCGGCCAATACACGCGATATATCTTACTGGAACACACTCTGATCCAGCGGCAAAGGAATTCCTTGAAGAGCTGGCTAAAATCACCAAGGGTTCCTTTCACTGCATAAGCCTCACTCTTTATGGTAGGATACAGAGAGTCACACCGATCTTCAATCAGAGGACTGAATTCATGAGGCATTATGATGGTGAATTCTTGTCCCCCAACCTCACTTCAGTGTTAGGTACCAACACTACCCCACACCGTCCTACCTCAGCACCCCCTGCATCAGGGTTTGTTCCCAGAATATATGATCCAGGAACTCCAGTCACTCTCCTCAAGGCACCTCATGGAAGTGTCCCTATCCCATATGTCTCTTGGAGTAAGTATGATCAGGACAGAGGGACATCACAAGTCCTGCAGTATGCTGATGCAGTGCTGGCATCACGAGGGCTGTCAAAAGACAGTGATAAATCTATTGGTAACACTAGTGTACCAGTAGCTGCCAGTGTAATGAAGGGAATGAAGGTATTGGCGAGGAAAGATTCAGATGGTCTTTTCTACATGGCATCTGTCAAAGAACAGGTAAATGAAGGCCACCTTCAGGTTTAATTGTAACCTGATAAAGATATTTTCTGTTATGGGAGTACATCCAACTTTTTAGTTGTGATATAAAGATGTATTGGTAACAAATCAAGGCATTAAGCCCTACTCCTTTTCTGTTTCCAAGGAAGAGGTCCTCAGCCCTCTAGCATTAATAATAAATTATGTGCTTCTGCAGTGAAGTTGACAATTGTATGTTGACGTATAAGAGCCAGGTAACAATTAAGTCAACCTTTGTGAATTGTATCTACCATACACAAAGCCTAATACAGAACATAAATTCAAATCAAGTGTTCAGATCTGAGTTATACATTGTAAGAGAGGATGAGATTGCTGTTGTTCTTAAGAGTGTTTCTCTCCATGCAGGGGTGCGAAAAATTTCATACAGAAAGTAATATCAAAGTACTGATTACTCCAGATTAAGTTTTTCAATCTATAATCATGTAATTATAACTAATAGAATCACAAAATAAACGAAATTTTATTATTCAATTAAGGGGGAAAACAACACATTTGTAGTTGAGTTTGAGAAGTGTCCTGCCCTTCGCAAGTCACACCTTCAGGAGACAGCTCTGTATGACATGATAGCTTATAAAGATGCCATACGACACCATGTGTGTATTGGAGATAAAGTGTTAGCTCCATGGCAGGATGATGGACGATATGGACCAGGTACTGTTCTTGATGGAGTGGATCGAAGGGATCTTCAACCACAAGGTATTAAAAAGAACATCACATCCTTTGTGCCTCATCATATTCCCAGTGACTGTAAATCTGAACAGGAAATGGGCCTAACTTTCAGTCACTTTAATGCTTAAAGCATGAACTAATTTCTTGAGGACTGAATGGTTATCAAACTTAAAGAAAGACATTCTGATTTTGAACTACTACTTGCATTCATATTGCTCTATTTAGTTGTTGATAATAACGATTTAATAGATGATCATGAATGTTACTGCATATAAATAAGAAACAAATTGAGCTCTCGATAACTCTGGCAAGCTGAAGTCAAACCCACCTTTTCCATGTGAGCTCTCTTGTCTGACCTGCCTCTCTAAGAAGATGTTATAGGACTCTTGTGGTAAGATCAAAGAGGCATTGCATAAAATTGGGACAAACCCATTTAAAAGGTCTCTTTCCTTTTATTCTCTAGGTTAATTTTTCAAAATTATTTTTTTTTGTCTTTTTCCCCATATTTACAAAGAACATCACGACAGACTTTAAGATTCTCCTTAGTGAGGGTTTCCCTTTCCAGATCATTTTCAAGTGTAGAGCATACTTTATGAAAACAAGAATGGCTCTTAATCGCAAGCATCCTTCTGACTTTTGTTAGCTCTTTGCATGTCTTAAATCACAATTAATTGCCTCTTTCATTTTCCTCCTTTTTTTGTCTTGTCTAGGTTATGAAGGAGGTAACATTCTTGTAGCCTTTTACAATGGCCAAACAGTGCAGTTATCCCCAGGTGTGGCTGTACGAATACCACTAGCTGTGTTTGATCGTATGGTGACTGAGCTTCAGCTTCCAGAGTCCCAGCGGCGGAAAATACGACTTGCTGCTGACACCTCAACCCCATCGTACCAAGGAAGACCCCCACCAGTTCACACCACATGGCAGCGGCCATTCAGCCCCCCTCGGCACCAAAAACAGACCTGGTCTGAACATGATTCAAAAGACGCTCTCAGTGAGAAAATAAAATCACAGCTTGAGAGAAACAGGCATCTTTTGGAAAGGGTGAAGTTCGAGGAGGAGGGAAAGGATGACGGGAATTTGTCTGATGCAGATGCAGAAGAAGCTAATGTGGAAGATGACGATAGAGAAGATACTTTGAAAAATGCGGGAACATTTGATGTTTGTGTTGGAACTGAAGATATAGGTGAAAATTCATTTGTTATGTTTACTGAAAGACATTGTTGTCGAGGCTTATATCAGTCACAACAACTGAAACTAGTCTTATTAAAAGAGGTAAACATTTTGATCCTCAAAATTGAAAATAGCGACGAAAGATTTATTGCACAGATAGAGCGCTCTGTAATCGAATGTTGTCGAGAAAAAAGCTGGAGCAATAGTCACAGCAACTAATCGATCGTTTTTTTTTTTAAATAAAAGCACGCGCTCTAGAGACCGCAGAGTGTTCACGTTCGTATTTTCCCTTCCGCTCTGGAAGTTGATATAGAGGGAAAAAAGAAAGTCTTTAAAGAGGTTAGGGCCAATCACGAGCAGGACGGAAGTAAACTTTTTATGGGACCAAAGAGAACTCGCAGCTTAAATACGCTCTACTACGAGGAATGGCTTGAGTTACCAGCTTTACTGATACTAAAAGCCTCCTGCGTGAAGCGTGCCGATTATTGCTTGACAAGTCCAAACTCTAACGGAGTGAGACTTTTGGCGTTATAATTTGATATATTTTAACCCAATCATCAACTCTTTGATTCGACAGATTTTAAAAGATATGTAGATCCAGTAATACCTGTGGGAACTCCTCTAGCAAAAGCTGGTGGAAAGCCAGAGACTAAGAAACGCTGGCGTTGGTGGAGTTCTGGGGTACCTCCTCGACCCCCAAGATTCCGAGAGACAGCACTGGCAAAGCCCCTCGAGGTACGGGATGATAAAAATCAGCGTCCTATATACCAGGAGTACCAGACTGTAGCAGGTGTCCCCTTCCCTCCCGGCACAGGTAACGTTCAGTAGTGACTTTTTCGGGTTGAAGTCATGACGAGGATGTAATTGTGGTGGTTGCCCATAACTAATGCTACAAATCTACCAGCATGCTATCGCAAATGAGTCAAACTTATCGGCTACACCACTCGCCCTGTAGACAGTGTGATTATCCGCAAGTCTGAAGCCCATGCGATGAGTTCATGTAGATTTTTGCCAAATACATTCAATGCTTCGGTCTCGTTTTCTCTGCGCGATGATAGATTCAGGCTTACCCCTCATTGACTACTACGCTATAAAAATCTCGAACTAACAATCTAACGCTTGAAAATATGTAGGCATAGTATGTGAAACTCATTGGTGATTCTGTCACCGTTTGAAGTTGTCCTTCAGTAGCATGTCGTTAAATGGACGATTCGAATGAGGCCTTAAGCTTCTCTATTTTTATTTATTCTGAGCTGTCGTAGATCTACGGCATCGTTAGAAATACAGAAGCTCAAGGCATCAATCGAATCCCCCATTTAATCATTGGTGATTGTTTGTTACGAAAGGAGAGGCTTGTCCACGTTCTTATGTGGGCTCACTACGAGTCATAACTGACTGGCCACACGGAGAATTTAGTAATTAATCAAAACTTCCCAGCTAGTTCAGTCAATTCTTTACTATGTATCCACTGTTCTCTTCGATTTTCCGCAACCAAAAGTTCAACGGCTCAATTCTGATTGGAAATATAATCCCTTACAGTACCGGTCAAATATAAGTCGATAACCTCTCAACTCTGGCTTCTCGAAAACTTGAGGATCAATTTGAGTTTCGGAACTTTCAATAGCGTTTGAGAAATTTTCAGATCCAATTTCGCGACTTTCGAGACGGTAATACAAATGAATTTTTCGCGGGTTCAATTTTGCACATGACTCCTTTGTCTTCTTTACAGTGGTCATTTGCTGCTGGTGAGCATTTACGTTTACATCATTTTGCGTTACAAGCATATAGCCTACCTACAACCTAGGAATCGCTTCGCGCATGCTGAAGCAACCTATTGTATGGTAAATCGTTCATGCGCGCCAACTAATTATGGTCATTGCAATTGATTATTAATTAGTTATTACTATATATTTTACAGATAAGAAATTCCAAGATGGAGAGTGGCATCCCCACCATCAGTGGAAAAACACCGGTAAGGCCCTGGTAAGATCCGGTCCACCACTGCTCAAGCATCACGAATACCAGACATCCAAAGGAGTGCCTTTCCCATCGGCAACAGGTAACATCAGACAAAAGACAACATGGCCCATGATGAATGGTAGGGCATGCGTGAACGATGTGAACCTGCTGTAACTTCAGAGGTTGCTTGACTGTTTGAGGAAAGCTTCCTTTTCGGTCGATTACTCTGAAACAAATAGTCGGTGATTATACTTTTCTCAAGTTTCATTTTCACTTAAATAAAAACGCAGTTTTGTATATGAAAGGAAGACCAAGCACGAGATTAAATATACGAATTTTTGAATACAAGCGTCACCAATTCTGATCACGTCTTCTCACGCTTCACGATCTGCACTTTGATTTGACTTTATCTTGTTATTTCTTATCTCCAAGACAACAAGTTCAACACCGGCTCCGATGGAAACTGGCGACCAGAAGACAATAGTTCCTCAGTTCAGCGGTCTTCTAATTGGGAAGATGGCCTGGGACATGGAGACATCGAGAAAAATAGGAAGGAGAGAAGAAGACTGGAGACCAAAAGAGACGCCAAGGAGAGATACCACGCACAAATAGCAAGAGAGTCCGTGGATAAACAACAGAAAGAAAAGGCCAGACAAGAATATCACAGGTTAGAGTCTTCACTTATTTGCCACTCCTCTATAAGATTTTTGTTGTTTCAAGTGTCTGATATAAGTGTTCGGTTTTTGCAGAGGTCTATAGATGATGGGTAAATTGAAGAAATGCTGATGACAAACTTTGACAGACGTAATCCTAGTAATTACGATTTTTAGTCGTGTTTAAGATATTATTAGTATAATAATGATAATGATAAAAACTATAGCTGTCTATTTTTTCAAATTGCTTAATACGAAATTAAGAAAGCATTTCCATCGATTCAAATGCCACTTGAACAAAGTAAATTACTTCTACCGGGCGCATACAGCATTCAGTGCTAAAATATACGGGAATGAGCGGATTTCGATTCTGTGTCATGAATTTAAAATCAAAGAAGAAATAATTGCCAGTCAGAAAAACGATGATATTACAATGACCCTCAGAAAAACCCTAGGTAAGAATGAGCAAACGGTAAAACGCGATTGCACCAATTTCGGTCGCTCGTAGTTTTGTTTTCTGATTGTTTGAGTGGGTTGCGCGCGGTTTCCTATCACAGAGCGCTGTAAAGCAACACTGAATGATACTGAGAGGTAAATTGTCTTCAGTTTATAAAACAATTATTGAATTTCTCATATTCTACTGCAGAAAAAAGGTCGACGAACGAACTCGTCAAATTTCGGAGCAATCTGCAGAAAAAGCACGCCAAGAAAGCCAGAGAATGGAGCACAAGAAACAGTCAACTGAAAAGGTTTGCAAAAAGGAGCAAGAGAGACAAGAAAAAGCCGAGACATGGAAACACTCCAGGATAGAAGCCATGAAAGAACGCAGAACCCAACATGAAGAAATGGAGAACAGTTACGAAAGAGCAGCGCAAGAGCAAGAGTCGCAAAGACTGGTAAGTGTAGGAAAATATTAATTCGTGAGAGAAAATTCGTAGAGGTATATATTTCTCAAACTCGTTGCAAATATATTAGAGATAGAAAAGATTTCTTACCTAAATCTTCTTCTCGGTCCTTACTAAAAGCTACGGACCTTGAATTCGGCCGGTTAGTATAGCTTACAGAGCAGGCGTAATTTTGGCGAACGAGTGCTCAGTATTTTCTTTGTGGAAATTTTAAGCTGCCATCTTTGATTTTTTACGACAGCGAAAGGCTGGGAAGGGAATGAAACTTGTGATCGACAGTTAAAAGGAACGAGAGTGGAGGGGTTTGGGCAAAAGAAATTCTCGCCTTTGCCCGCCCCCTCCCCTTACCGACCACTTTAACTCTAGATCATACATGACAGGTCGAGTAATAGATCGCCAGCTTAGAACATTAGCTCACTTTAATAAGACGTCTCCATCGTTTTTGTGCAGAGTGGACTGAAGGACAGAGAACAGAAGAGAGTAGAAGCGCATCACAATCGATTGGAGACCGAGAGGAGAATGGGAATAGACCGAGAAGACCAGCTGAAACATCGGGAGCTGGATCGACAGACGAGAATACAAAGGATAAAGGGGGAAGCTGAACGGAGAAAACAGATGGGAATTCACGTGAAACAACAAAATGAACAGAGATACCGAGCCAGCATTCTCCCCTAATCACAGAGAGAAATTGCAAAAGGACTGGGTGTTAGTTGTCAGCGAGAAGAGATCAGGCGATAGTCAACCATCGGAGAACGGTTCGGGTATCACAACTATTGTTCGAAGCCTAACAATTGACCACGTCAGAGGACAATTCTAGGCACAGATTCCTCAGACAACTATGCGTATCTGATTGAACTTCTGTCAACTTCAAATAGAAACAAAAAAGATCTTACTTTCATTTACAAACGGCGAAAAAAGTTCTTCTTGCCGTTAGCGAGAAGATTTTGTTGATTATTCCTTCATGAAACATCGATTGTATATGTCAACAAGTTATCGGATTTTAGTGACGCGCTGACAAACTGGCAGTGAGATAGACTTTTAGCGGCGCAGTTTTCGCCCAACAATGAGGAAAGCCATCTTAAGCAATGGACTTTAACTCGGCAATTAAGTATGTTTGTCTTGTAGCATTTGCTATTGAAAAATTTGCGTCCCTACAAGATAATTGCAGTGATCTTTGGTCTTTTTCAAGGAATTAGACCTAAACAGTTAATTGATCAATAGTGTTATCGCTTATACCCATTTAAACCAAAAAGAAATTCTAAAAAGTGAATCATTTATCTTATAATTTCGTGTATTGAAGAGCTGGCATTCTTAAGCTTGTGTTAGCTCAAGTGTTGAGGCAAGAAAACCTTTCTTCCCTTTTTTCAAGTTGCAACGATTTATTGTGCTGCGGTCAATGAAGGGAACAAAAAAAGGTCTATTTTAGAACGTCTTCCTTTTTATTGTGGTCACCACAATCACATTAAGACTCTAAGGACAGTTTCTGCGTGTCTATTAAAGGTACATGTTTCTAGATTTGCTAACATACGGTACAGAAATTGTCTTAGAGAATAAGGAAAGGAAATGCAAAGCAATACTGCGCCTACATTGAACGAAAAGAGTTCATTTCTGAAAAAAGAAGCGTTAGAGAAGTAAATAGTAATTTAAGTAAGAAACTAAAATAGAGACGGCTGCTATTAGTCTTAAAAGGAAGATCATAGTGTTTTCAACACAAAAAAAGAAATCTTCGGATATCTTACGCCAACGTCTGAGGAAAAGTAGAAAAATGGAATCGTGAGACGAAATGTTCATTCGAGAACAGATTAAAATTACAAATACCAATTGCGTCTCAAACGAGAATTTGCGATGTATGTCCGGATCGATGTCGGTTCGTCCCCAGTATCAAGGGCAGCGTTGTTACACATGGTATATTTTGCGCTTATTGTCTGCCGTTAGTGAAAACATTACTGGTGAGGCGAAATATATGTTATTTTGAACTCGATTGCCATGTCAAATGTCACTTTATTCGCTTGTGGAGGTATTCATCAGGGTCAAAAATGTTTTAGTGAGGTTTCAAGAGGAAGGCGATGCGTTGATGAGTTGATGAGTTCATCGGCCTCGAGCAAGCAGTAGTTTACAGTTCAAAAACAATCGATAATATCTTACTAAAGGAAAAAAGTTTTACTGAAGTGTACTTGCAAATGGTGATATTCCCGATGCAGTGTCGCTTTCAGTTTGTGACCTGCTATTCGCTTCTGCCGGTCGCGGAGTTCGAATAATATTAACCCTGTGTCGGAAAGCTCCCTCAACACCGATGCTGCATCATACTCAAGTTAATTCACGAACTCTTGTCAATCTCCCGCTACAGCATGTCAGCTCAGAAAAACCCACTCACTGCAGTTAATGATAGCAATTCACTTTGTCCAGTGAAGCCGAATGGCACCAGTTGAAGTCAACGTTATACATCGTAAATACTATTAAGGCGTGATCGGATTGTTCTGCTATTTTTGTGATCCTTTGCACTTTCTGGTATTAAATAAAAATTCAACGTGGGATTTGTTCTTGAGGGATATTGGACATTATAACCCACCCATTGATTTTCGCGCAAATGTATTGGCTACTTTACATTACGAGGTGTAAAATCATTTGACACTCATCGCGCAAAAAGCCCTGTCTACGTCCAGCGGTTATTTCCATCGGAAAGAAACAAAGCCAGCTAAAGAATGCCAGCGCAAGAGTCTCATCTTTTAATCGCCATTATTTAGTACAGAGGAAAAACGCATTCGTTTTGTAAAGTCCAGTAATGGTGACATGAAAAAGCTGGTCGTAAATATGCATGCACCATTAGATCAACACGGAGTGGTTTACGCGCGAGCTGAAAATTAATGGAAGGGTTATTAAATAAATAAACCCCTTTCAGGCTTGCTGGTATGTCCGCTGATAATGTCCATGGTGGACCGGGATTGTCCTCTAAGTGTCAAATCTTCTCTTGAGGCTTTGCTTCTCGGTCAAATTTGACAAACAATCCCTTTCATATTTGTATTTTAATCTATAACTTCGACTTCTTTTGCATGAAAACATATACGCTAAGGAATAAAAATGTATACAATGATGTCAACAAGATTCCTGTTGTCTAATACAACAATGACGGAGACAGTGGAGCTGTTTCACTGTATTCAGCTTCCTGAATCTAAATAGAAAGGTGTGAAAATTACGGGTTTCACTGTACTAAGTACGAGGAAATATTTCATTTTTGCGGGTTCTACTGTACAACTGTTCAGTTGACAAGAGATGAAAGACGAAGATCATGGGAAGAAATACATCCCAAAATACTATATTCAAACACCCGTTACTGAAGCTTTCTTTGGTCATAGTGGCGATTCTTCTTTCCTTCCTTGGTGGATATTTCATAAACTCAACTTCTTTATCAAAATCCTTGGAAACGGAAATAAAAATCAATTCAAATGAGCAGCGGAGTGCCTACGACGTTCAAACAGAACTTTTACGTTCATTTAAGGCGGAAAATCTCGAAAAAAATTCAAGGTTAGTAACTCAAGATTACTCCGCCCCACGAAGCTAGCGTTTCTACCAAGCCGGGTTTTAGCCGGGATCTGGCGTTTACCAACGTAACGCAACTTTCTGTCATATGTTAAGCTTATTTTGTTTAGTATAAATCCTCTCATGACTGTGGGTAATTAGTCGAGGCAGCAAGATTTTTCATTCCGTTCAGCTGCAACAAACTGTCGTTGGGTCTTCTCCAGGATTGTTATTTCTCCATTAAACATTTTCATGGATAAAATCATCAAATTAAAGCAGCAGTAGGTCACAGCAATACTATTTAATAGAAAGTGGTAATTTGACCGCAATTAAAAGTAGGGAACCCAATCAAACTCCGTAGGCGTTGATTAAACGCCCTCGAAGTTTACAACTAAATTTTGCCTTAGTTTCTACATGAGGCCGCTGTTTAATTGTGGTCCAGCCTTTAATCGAGAAGACACGGTTTACTAAATTGAAAAAGGACTGCTTTTGAATTAAGCAGGACCATAACATTGTTCTATTTTGTATACAGGTATTTTTCCAGCGAACCACATTTTGCTGGTTCAAAACGCAACAACGATTTAGCGCGCTACATAGCTGAGAAATGGCAGAAGTATGGCTTTGATGACGTTAAAATGCCAAAGTATAATGTGCTCATGAATTCCCCACGAAAAGTCTGGGAGAGCAAAGTGGAAATTCATCGTAATGATCGTGTAATCTTTACATCGAAGTCCGTAGAAAAGGTTTGACAAGCTTCTTTTAATTTGTACCATGCACCCTTAACCCATCAGCCATAACATCAGTATGCATATTCTCCACACTTATCTTTGTACATTTTCTGCGGTACTGGCAAGAAGAATCCGAGCTTCTTCTAAATTGTCATATCTTTCATATCTTTTATTCTCATGATCTTAATATTTGATGCAGGAATAACACTTTTAGAAGAAATGAGATGCTGGTTATTCTTATGGGTTGACGTGTTAATAACTCATTAGAATTATTTCACGCGTGAGTAATGCAACGCATTAGTAACTGGTAGCTTTTCTTTTATGATGGGAGCAACCAGAGAGAAAGGTGCGGAGACCTACCGTTATTTTTTTTCTCCCTTTTAAATAAATAATAACTCTCTTCTTGTAGAATAAATACATTAGGATCCGATCATTTTCGCTCTGTCAGGGAAAGATGGGAAAAATTAGTGGAGTTATTGGGCGGCTCAGAAAATCGGCAGTAAATGACAATGTTAGACGGAGGAAGGGAAACCACTTTTGTTTCGAATTAATGCGAATTTATCAGCAAAGCGGAGTTCGAAACCAATCTTCACAAAAATGTACTCTAGATTAAAACGCGCATGACGATCGAAAATCCCTCCTAGGTGAAATGAGATGTGTATAACAAGTGTCTAACCTAAGTAACCCGAGAGCCCCCGCCCCTAATGTCAACATACCTTAAGAGTTCAGGTCACCAGAAACTAGTTCTCGAGTCGTCCATTCTTATTCTTAACGACGAAGTTGAGTGGATGAAAGGAAATTGGCCAAAGGAAAAGGCTCATCTCCAGTTTTAGGCCAACTGTTTTTTGGCCGCTTGTCCACTTTAACTTTTCGTTATCGCTTGACAGACTAATTTAAACAAAATCGTTACTTTCAACACCTATCGCCCATTAATAACATTCCAAACGCTCAATATTTTACCAACAGATTTTACGTAAGGATGAAAAGAAAGGTAAAGATACCCCAATTTTCCTGGCTCAGTCCCCTAACGGGGTGGTAGAAGGAGAAGTTGTGTACGCTGACTATGGCAATAAAGAGAATTTCTTACATTTGCAAGCCATGGGCGTGTCCGTGAAAAATAGAATTGTCCTTATGCGAATTGGCAAGATGTATAGAGGAAACAAGGTATGTATTTTGTAACTGACTTAAGAGACCATTCGTCATTAATGGGGGGGGGATGGAGAGTCTAGAAAATTGACTACCAGTTAGGTGCCTATGAAAGGGGGAACAGAGTCACATTACAGAGCCTTAGGGGTATTGGGTTAATTTTATCATGGAACAACCAAAATCCTCCAAAACTGTCCCAGGAGAGCCTGTGAAACTTTCCATAACGTCTTTCGCCCACGCAATATATCTAGACCAGATTGTATCCTCTTCAGGGTTAGATCAGTTATCATGTAGAAATACAGTTGTTGGAATCTCTGCTGATGGGCATCTCGTCATAGAAAACCTTTTACATTCAACCACTGATAGAGGAGCACCACTGTTACACAAACACATGCTCTCTTTCCCAAGAATCCTAGTTTTCGAAATAATTTGACTACTGAGTGCAATCAGCTCCTTAATTTACTTCCTGACCACTCTGCCAGTTCGTGTTCCTAACGCCGCACGGTTTTCATCCTGTAGCGACTGAGTATCAGTTAAGCTTTGGAGACCAAGGGTTATTATCGCCAAGAAAATGTAAAGGAGGACTATAAAATATTGACTTCCAGTTCGCTGCTAATGGAGGGTTAGTGGGGTCAGAAGAATGTTACATATTATACAAAGCCTTATGAGGGGATAATTTATTGTGACACAACCAAAATCTTCCAACCTCCCCCCGCTCAGCAATAAATGACCCCTTCCCCCCCTCCCTTTTTCCCTTTCATCAATATAATTACACTGCAGGCTCTCGATCGAGTCTTGCACTTAACAACAAAGGATCTTACTTTGAATTAATCCAAAGACTAAAATCATTTTCTAAAGGTTCTCAATGCTGCTTCACATGGTGCATCTGCGGCCATCATCTATAACGATCCTGCAGAGTATGCACCGGAGGGAACCGGCAACAACACTTTCCCTCACTCTTGGTGGCTTCCTGACTCTGGGGCCCAGCGTGGAGCAGCAAGAAACGCAACGGGGCTTGGTGACCCACTCACCCCAGGTTTTCCCTCTGTGGATGGTATTTACCGAGAGGTACTTAATAACAATGGTTCTTCGCCAATCCCTGCCATTGTGCTATCCTACGGGGATGCGCAGGAGATACTGCGTCGCATGAAAGGTTAGTACGCTTCAAGCACAGGAAGAGGAAGGTCACGTGTTACTAAGGGCCTGAGGCCCTACCAGGTTTTTTCAAAGAAGAGAAAGAAAAAACTGAAATTTCCTACCCTGTGTAGCAAGAAAACCTTTCTGGCTGAACTGTTACGATAATTCATTAAATCGAAAGTCCGTCTGTGCGTTTTTATGGAGAGTAACTGCATCTGGAAACTTTTAGAAAACTTATTAGTTCGATCAATTGACGAAGTTTTGTCTTGTATGCTTTGTGTTGCCTTGCTAATTTCCTCTTTTGATTTAGTACCACGCACATCCGTTGTCTTTTCAAATGTTTGAAGAGTAGGTAACGCCTAAAAAGAAAGTGATCTTTCCCAAAACTTTATATGTCTACAGGGTATAAAGGAAGTTTCTATTTAATTTGATAGGTCTTAAAGCACCAAAGAGTTGGCAAGGAGGTTTGCAGTTAACTTACTATATCGGACCTGGATTTAAAGACAAAAGTCTCACTTTGCGTGTGGATGTCAACAGCAGCTTGGAATTCAAAACCATTTACAATGTGATCGGCCAGATTAGGGGCGCAGAAGAACCCGACCGTTATGTACTCCTGGGAAATCATCGAGACGCCTGGGTATTTGGTGCTGCCGATCCTGTTAGTGGTACGGCTGTGTTGATGGAACTATCACGTGGTTTAGGAGAGTTGATTAAAAAAGGATGGAGGCCACGCCGGACAATAATGCTGTGCAGCTGGGATGCAGAAGAAATTGGTGCTGTTGGATCAACGGAATGGGTCGAGGAAAATACTCAAATTCTTCAAAATCGCGCTGTTGCTTACCTTAACATAGACCAAGCTGTTAATGGTAATTTCAGTCTTAATGTCGATGCCAGTCCTTTACTCAAACATTTGGCATTACAGTTGACGCAAGAAATTTGTGATCCAACAGTTCCAGATACTTGCAAAAGTATGTACGAAGTCATGTTGGAGAGAGATATAACTAAACATGTTAATGGCCGCGCAGTATGTAACGATTTGTCATTTGGTAGTGATTATGGAGCGTTTTACCACTTCCTTGGGATTCCCTGCGCAGATTGGTCTTATATCTTTGGAGGACGATACAACATCAGGAGAGCGTATCCCGTTTATCACTCCGTGCACGACACGTTTTACTGGATGAAAACTTTTGTTGATCCTGAATTTCAAACTCATCTGGCCGTGACAAAATTTGCAGGGGCATTTCTTCTCAAACTTTCCGACTCTGAACTGTTACCTCTCAACACAACCAGTTACGGAGAATTCTTAAAATCAAAAGCAGTTTCCTTGGAAAAGAATGCTACTCTAAGGGCGCATAACATCAGCACGGTTCCTTTTTCTCGTGCAGTGAGGAGATTTGCAAAAGTTTCGCGTCAGTTTGAAAGAGGCAAGTTAAATGAGAAACCAGAAAACTTTCGCATCCTGAACGATCAAATGATGCAAGTGGAGAAAGCTTTTATACAAACTGTAGAAGAAAACGACTTGAAACTTTCCAGACATGTAATACATGGCCTTAACATCGATGATCTGTACGATAACTTGTATTTTCCGCGAGTACATTATGCCATGATCAAGGCGAAAAAAACAGGAGATTGGAAATTGGTGGAAAAAGAGATATCTTTGCTGACATATGCCATTACTTCTGCTGCAAATGTTCTGAAACCCATATAAAGACGAAGATATTTTTGAACTTTTATTTGAAAAATTGGTTTCCTTCGTTATATTTTAATACCATGATTATGACAGCTTCCAGCTTGAGAAAACACAATCTTTATTAGTCCTATGGCCAAAATGTAACATGTGTGTGCTAGCCTGTTGATTAAGGCTTCAAACTAGAGCGGTCCAGGATCGAGTCAAGATCAAAGCTCGGAAAGAAACTTTACTCTTACTACGCAACCGATACCCGGGAGAAAAAAATTCATAGCACAAACGAACTGTAAGGGAGGCCCTGACAAAAAGCTAGAGGTTAGGCTCCGTCGCACTATGATTCCGAAATCGGGATGAACTCTCAAGCTGTGCAAACCAGGCTGTTTCACAATCTACAGGTGCTTTGTTTGTTTGCTGACGTTTTTTTGTTTGGATTTACTCCTGGTTTTTAGTTTTTCTCCTATACCTAGTAAAGTATTCCATTTTGGCCATGAAGGCAACTCTATGATGGAGAAAGCATGGTTGCCCGTTCGAGTGGGACAGTTCCTCTACCGTTAGATAAAATAATCAAGTTGAAGTCCCAGTGCATTAATGCTCAATGGGGGTAAGTTGTTAAAGAAGAGCTCAATTTTAGTATTCATAGTCCATGAACTAGAAATGAATGACCTCGGTAATGATACTATCAGAGAGGAGAGCCGAGGAAACACCTGATTCGTTAGCTTCTAGCGATCGAAAAGAAGCCTGAACCTAATTTACTTGTGTCAACTCTACCCAAGATCCTTGTAACTGAGACACTCATATCAACAGCTAGTGTAGCTCGGCCAGCTAACTCCCAGCTATTTATTTATTTACGATATTTTGACAGGCTGGCCCAGTTCAGCTTTAAAGCTACTTTAAATTGGGGCCTGCATGTATAAAAAATAACAAGGCCAGACCACAACACTAGGAGCTACGTGCCTGCTCTTTGCGGGAAGCGAAGTTGTACAGAGGAGACACTAAGGTTGAGGTTGTACAGAGGAGACACTAAGGACCGGTTATTAAAACAAAGTTTAGCCGTTGTTTAACGAAATCGCGTCTTAAACAATCACCAATTTACCTGGACCTTTTGTCTGCACATTTGTTCTTGTGAACAGTGTTAAGATGGCCGAAAGCTAAAAGTCGAAGGACTTTTATTTAATCAAATTATAGCCTGCAGTGTATGTTTCGTTTATCAAATAGGCGTTGCCTCTTGTTGACAGATTTACTTAATGACAAGAATCGTGATTGACATTAATTCTTTAGATTGATTTAAAAGCGTTAGATTATTATGTTTCAAGTCAGTTTTTCACCGGAATCGAAGTTAGAGAGAAGTTATTTTGTTATCATTTTTTCTGTCTCTAAATCCGCTTACCTGGAGAATCTGCTAACCTGTAAAGTGAGATTGTATTTTAGATCGAATGATTATTAAAGCTTGGCTTGATATTATACGGTTTGTGGTGGTCATTTGAGCTAACCAGTTCTGAGTAAGGAAACAGTGTAGGCATCTTATATTAGGGCAAGTTAACGTTTAAGAAACGTACGTTTATTCAACCAGCCATGATTGATTTGAAGTTACAGTCGACGGTGAGGGAAATGTCGGGGAAAGGTAAAAAGGCGGAGTTATATTCACTCCCTCACCCCCACCCCTCTACTTACTTTTTACTGTCGCTCACCCCCTTTACACTCTTTCACTCCCCAGCCTTCCGCTGCCATGAAAATCAAAGATGGCTCCATGATTTTGGCTAAGAAAATACTGAGCACTCGCTCGCCAAAATTACGCCTTCTCTGCGGGCTAAACAGATTTATCCTCTCATAGAGAAAGCCTGAGGCCCACTGATTAAGTAAAAACCGTGGTTTGGGTTAGACCTTGTGTAATAAACTGGCCCCGAAGTTCGGTTATTGAAATGAGGTCTAATTAGGGCCGCAGCTTTTAATTTGACGATCAAAACTTCGAATGTTCATCATTTGTGGGTTTTTTCCAAGAAATTTTATTTTCTTTTGGAGCTTTATATAAATCTCTTTGACGGTTTCGCAAAATCTTAACGATTGGGTGAATTTTTCTGCTTGTCTCAATATTGATTAGAGTGCGGTTTGGATGAATAATAGTTAAAATTTTATTTAATAAAAGGCCTAAGAGTCTGTAAACTTCATGGTTTTTTAAACAGAATGTATACCGAGTGCTTTATTGATTGGCTTAATAATTTCTTTAAGTCAGACTATTGTAGTGGACGGAAGTGTTCTCGAATGTATATATGTAAAATAAATCAAGAATAACTGTAAGCAGTCTCTAAAATATAGTTTTTTAAGTGAATTTACGCCAGTCAAAGCATTTTTAATGCTATAAGACTGTGCATGTCTACAGTAAACGCGAACACAACATTTTCTTACAATTTCGCCTAATATTACCCTAATTGCGTTCAAAGTAGAAGAACGCTTACAATTCGTGTCTATTTTCAGTCCCGTGGACATCGATCCAAAGTCAGACTCTTTCAGCTTTTCGACGCCATCTTGGACTGACTGATACACCTGGTCTTAATCTCACGCGAGAATACATTCGCCTCGATTTCATGCAAGAGTAGATAAGTTAGGATGCCTTTGGAAGATATGTAGAAAAATTGCACCCAAATCGGAACTGTGAGCCGCACCACAATTTGATGTTTGCAGATTTAATTATGCCCTGGATTTTATTACGCTAAGAAAAAAAATACTCATTCCTAGGCCACATCGAACACACTTAACTAATCCATGATTATTACTGAGTCTCGCGAATTCATTCTACGACAAGGGTACATTCTACAAGATATTCTTTATGTCAAATATTAACTTCTTTATTGACTAGCTTCTTCAGTTCCAATGAATGTAAACTGGCTTTTTTCACAATTGCTTTGTGACAAATCTCAAATGAGCATCGGTCGGCGAAAATGCCGAAAAAGAACGTAGCAAATTTCTAACTAGCATAAACAAAACGGCTTAGAAAAAAATTCAAATTTATCCACGGTAGTTCTTCACATGACAAATTTAATACTATTTTACAGCTTTCTTGTTTATCATATCGGTTTCAAAACCCTCGAGGCTGAGTTTATGGCAAATGTCAAAAGTGATATTTCTTTCTCCACCGATTTCCAGTCTCCCGTCTTTTCGGCCTTCATCGTGGCATAATGTACGCGTGGAAAATAGATACCGCCGTAAAGATTGGCAAGCTTTGGACCGTATATAACATGTCGTAATTGTTTATGATCATTCACTTCCACAGTTTGAATAAACGCCTTCTCTAGTTGTATCATTTGATCGTTTAACGTGCGGTAGCTCTCTGATTTATGTTTTGACTTACTGCTTTCAAACTGACGGGCGACTTTTGCGAAGTTCTTTACCGCGCGAGAGAAGGCAGCCGTGCTGATGCTGTGTGTTTTGAGATGTTTGCTCTTTTCTATAATAGTGGATTTTTTCTGTAACAGCTCTGCATAGGTTGTAGTGTTGAAAGGCAAGAGCTCCACGTCTGCTAATTCAAGAAGAAAAATCCCTGCATATTTTGTTACGGCTAGGTGAGTCTTAAACTCGGGATCGACAAAGGTTTTTATCCAGTAATATGAATCGTGAATGGAATGATAAACTGGATAAGATCGCCTTATTCCATACAACCCCCCGAAAATGTAAGACCAATCCGCACAAGAGACTCCGATGAAATGATAAAACGACACGTAATCACTTCCGAACGACAAATTATCGCAGAATGGGATCCCGTTCTCGTGTTTCGTAACATCTCTCTCTAACATGACATCGTACATGCTTCTGCAAGTGTCCGAAACTGTTGGATCACATACTTCTTTGGTCAACGATACAGCCACGTCTTGGAGTAGAGGATTTGCATCAACGTTGATACTGAAATTGCCATTGACAGCCACGTCCATGTTGAGGTAACCAACAGCGCGATCTTGAAGAGTTCGAGCATTTTCTTCAACCCATTCGGCTGATCCAACCACAAACACCTCCTCCGCGTCCCAGCTGCACAGCATTATGGTCCGGCGAGGTCGCCATCCCGTTTTAAGAAGCTCTCCCAAACCACGAGACAACTCCATCATTGCAGCCGTACCGCTAACTGCATCAGCAGCACCAAACACCCAAGCGTCCCGATGGTTCCCTATGAGTACATAACGGTCGGGTTCTACGGCGCCTCTGATCTGGCCAATGACGTTGGTAATGGTTTTATTCTCTATGTTGTTCCTAATATCCAAGCGTAATGAAAGATCTTCGTCTTTAAAACCCGGCCCGACGTGATAAGTGAGTTGCAAGCCTCCTTGCCAGCTCTTCGGGGCTTCAGGACCTGTCGAGTAAAGTTGTAAGAACATGATAGACATTGTATTGGCTTCTGAAAATACGGGTATAGTCCACGTGGAGAGAGGTAAATAAGTGGAGTCCTATTACAAAATTAACTCCTTCGAACACTGTTCCACTATCTCTTTCTCGAATGTCTTAATCCGAACTGCCAAAGGCGCTGACAAGCAGACAGCACTTCTAAAAACAAGACCTTATCAATTTAAGAAAAAAATTGAGAGGATAGGCCGAAAGCAAGTCAGTTCCGAATGTCATAAAAATAGCTTGAAGTTTCAAAAACATTTCTGGATTTTGGATAAAGTTCAAAAGTGAAGGGGCCTAGCGTAAAAAAAAATTAAACCCCGGAAGGAAGAACCGAAAGCCCGAGTGAAGGTGCACCTAATTTAGGTTCTGCGTCACTGCAAGTAAAACACAAGAGAAATCAGTATTGGTCAATTGAATGAGTCACTCTTTACCTGCAGCGACTCACAGAATATTTAACTAAAAAAACGACAACAACAACATTTCGGCGTCACTAAGCTTCTAACCTTTCATTCGCTTTAATATTTCCTTGGCGTCGCCATAAGATAGAGCAAAGGCAGGAATTGGTGGTAAGCCACTTTCGTTCAACGGCTGTCGGTATATACCATCCACAGAAGGAAAGCCCGGGGTAAGTGGGTCACCAGGCCCCGTTTCACTTATCGCTGACCCACGCTGTGTGCCGGAGTCTGGAAGCCACCAGGATTTGGGAAAAGTGTTTCCGTCTCCCTCTGGTGCAAACTGCGCAGGGTCAGTGTATATGAGGGCCCCAGAGGCGCCGTGTGAATGAGCATTGAAGACCTTAAGGAAACAATGAAGTTTGAGTGACTATCATAATCAAGTGCGACTAATTGCAAGGCGTTGTGCCCTTGGGACGTGCGGGGAAAAAATTGCGAGCTCCGCTTCTAGGCTTGGCTAAATCTATATATTAATCCATCCATAGTTTACCTAGTAATCAGAGTTGGAAGAGTACATACGCATTCTTTTGACAGGAATTGCTTGAAAATCAGTTTCAAAAGATTTCAAAGGTAGAGAAAGCCATAGTTCCTTAAAATGTTTTATAATAGCAAACTGTAAAAATTTGCAAAGGGAATGGAGCGGATGTTGTGTTCTTCTCTTTTGACTTTCAGCGCACTTACATTGGCACCAGAAGTTTTCTTTGCTCGCCAGAGTATGAAAAGACCACACCTGACTCTGAACTCAGCAAGCCGACAAACTTTTATAAGCAGTTTCTGCAGATTAGCCAATGGGAAACAACCTAACCCTGATCCCTTACCCCTACGACCTATTAGCGCGCGCAGTCATAACCACGATTCAAAGAACCGACGAAAAAAGAAATAAATTGCGTGCAACAGCTATTGCAGTGTTAAAGACAACAATTCAACGAAGCTCTCAAATCATAACTCAGTAACATCTGCGCTAAGGTTGTTAAGTTCTAAATACAAATAGCATACCTTGTTTCCTCTAAATACTTGTCCCTGTCGCGCTATAACAATCTTATTTTTCAAAGACACTCCCATAGCTGTCAGTTTCTCAAAATCGTCTTCAGTGCCAAAGTTGGCGTAGACAACTTCACCTTCCACTACCCCACTGGGAGAATAACCAAGAAAAATTGGGATATCTTTACTTTTCTTTTCATCTTCACGTAAAACCTGTTAAGATAAACAAGAAATGTGACATGTAGCAGCTGTGAAAGGATCTTTTTGTTGGAGGTGAAGTTTAAAGACAGCTTGGAGGTTAGATGACAATGCACTTCTTTGTTAAAGGGGGCAAGTTTCCGAAGAGACTGTGGTGTTGCGTCGGTGGGAGAGTATAACATGGTAATATGGTATTATCAACTGAGTTGATAACGTAAGTTGGCCACCGTTGAGGGTTTCAAAGCTGACGTTTCGAGCGTTAGCCCTTCGTCAGGGCGACTAACACCTAACAAATTTTGAATCTTTGTATAATTTTAGTTTTTGGTGGTCTGCCTCGAAGCGTAAAACTAAAAAAAAAGCCTCAAGAATCTAAATGCGAAACTGATACACTCAGATTTTGTAGTATCACAGATGCCTCGTTAATTTACATTTTCCAGGGTTTGCAAAAGGATAAAAATCAAAGCCAGAGTAGTCAAAATAACAAGACAGTTAACAAGCAAACCGTTATCACCTTTTCATGAGACTGTGATTTAAAGATCACACGACCATTACGATGAATTTCCACATGGCTCTTCCGATCATTTTTAGGTGAACTCATGAGCACATCATACTTTGGCATTGTAACTTCATCAAAGCCATACTCTCGCCATTTAGTAGCAATGTGGTGCGCTAAGTCGTTGTTGCGTTTTGAACCAGCGAGATGTGGCTCCTTGGAGAAATACCTGTGAAGAACAAACAAAAGCAGTCGGTCGGTTTTCGATAATGGGAGTTGATCTCTTGCCAGAAAATCGCAATTTCTGAAAAGGATTACTTGGTTTCCTCACCTTAACGTTTCTTCTAAATTTTCTGCCTTGAACGAATCCAAGAGTTGCTCTCGATAAGGACGCAAGTGACGCGAATTTCTCCGTTCAATCGGATTTGTTTTCGTTCCAATCTCTAGATGGTTGGTCGAATAACTCGAATTCAGGAAGTAGCCACCACAGAAAGAGATAATACATACCAGAGCAACAGAAAAACATTTGAAGAAAATATTTGGCAAAAATATTTGGGACCTTTTTTCCGTTGTAGTATTAGTAGCTCGTGTCATTTCAGCGATGTGTAGTTGAAAGCGCTCTTAATGGTACCTGTTTGAGGGCGTTTAACCATTTGAAAAGACCTGTAATGTCTCATTTGTCTTCAAAATGTAAGTTCTCCTCTTTCGTAACCTTTGCAATGGGGCAATAAATATGTAAGTGCAATTGGTGACTGGTTCACAATTCAGCTGTAAAGAGTGTGGAAAAAAAGTGAAGCAGTCGAGCGTAACACTGTAAAGGCCAAGTTATTTGTATTCAATGAAAAAAATCAACGTTCTACGCCCTTCCGTATCAAAAGCATAACAAGTCTTATTTCGAGTTTGCGAGAACTCAAAGTTTTGGTCCAAGCTGTTTCGTTCACATTTCAATAAAATCGCAAAATTCACGATGTTATTTGTCAGATGGGGGCCACATTGAGAAACCATGTACACGGGGCCGAGTCTACAAATATCGCCTGAGGTTGCAGCCATACTGAGGACAAACGCTTTGTCCGAATACGAGCGCGTGACTGTTGCCATCATTTGAAAATTGGCGATCTCGAGAGGGCTGAGCATTTGTTTCGAAATAAAAAAAAACATGGTTAGAGAGGTGTACAACTTTCAAAGCTAACTTCCATCAGATTTATCAACAATTGTTTTTTAATTTAAGTTAATTTCATCGTCATTTTTATGACCTTCCTATTCTTCGCCCCTTCAAGCCATTTTCACGCTGAGTAGCCTCTTAAAGGCGACAACATGACTGCCAACATGTGGTCAAATGCTTTAATGGGATTAGATGTGTGCGGATGAATGAAGTCACTACCCATGACTCAAAGCCACGTTCTACATGAAACATTTTCACCGCGATTGCCCACTTTAGGACGCTTCACAGTATACCAATCACCACTCAAGGCACATTCATCCACGTTTAATAGTGGTTTACAAAGTTGTAGTCAAATCTCGCTTGATGTCCCCTATGGGAAAGATTTTGTAGTACTCTTACTCAAAGAAGGGCAAAGAACAAAAACTCGGCTACCACAGACATCTCATCTCCGAAGTCTTTTTGTGGTGCAAATAAGCAAATATCAATTTAATCACATTTCAAATTATTTCACGATAAGCCAAATAACGCCAAACGCAAGCATATATAAAGTACTTGTGACGCTATACTATTTGCAACTGCTCAATATGAAGGTAACTGATAAATTCGGCCCTTGCAAGTTCGCCCCAAATCACTGACCTTTGCGAGTTTGCACCCTTACAACAACAAACTACCTGTTAAGAGCGTTATTATGCAATGCTGTTGAAGCTTTTGGGTCAGCATGAAGTTCGAAGGAAAGACAAAATAACTAGGTTTAAACAGCGCTGTGAGTAAAGGCACAAAATTCTGTCAATCCCGTTTGATTAAGACTGGAGTAGTTTCACGGCTTTGCATTACTCGTGCATTAGAAGTGTGTTTGTAAGGAAACGAGTCGAAAGGGGTAAACTAGTTAAGGTGGAGGCGAACTTGCTTTGGGTTAGGGGACGAACTCGCAAAGGTGGTAGGGACCGAACTTGCAATGAGGCGAATTCACAATAAACCAATATAACGAGTGCAGCGGTATTCTGACTAGTAACCATATTTCTCTGTTATGGATCTCCAGCCATGACAAAAGCTTTGCAAAACAACTTCCAAAATACCCTCACTACGTCAGATCTGAGTGCGCGAGACAGTGCTTGCTTTACCTTAGGACAAAATGTCACACTGGAAAGAAGGTAAGAAAAATTTAAGCCGTTACTATGAACTGTTAATTAAAACTTTTCATCTCACAATTGTCCTTTAGTCTTGCTCAACATTACGATGTATTGTCATGTGACCAGAACAAACAATGCTCTCCTTTCCTTTCAGCTCTGACCGGCAGTATTTGTTCACGTGATTACTTGCCTGTAAAACAAAGGAACACACGGAGAAAGTCAAAGAGGGATTAATTCAAAGCAGGTTTTTAAGAAAGAATCCATTCATGATCAAGGCAAACACCTTGAATGTGATTTACGACATTCATCGTGTAACGCGGCGGTTAGAGTAACAAGGTTCAAAGAAAGGAAGTGATTAGACTGGAATTAGTAATTCTTGAGAACACAGCTGAACTGTTACTGATCTGTAACATAGTGCCCTCTATGCTTTACAGGTGATAAACAAGTAATTGAAAACGTCCTCGTGCAATTAAAGATTAATTTCACCTCACAGTTCTACAAATTGCCTTAGGGCAATTTTTTGAGAACTTCGAAAATCCTCGTGCAATTAATCCCTTTCCTGCCCTTGGACCCATGTATACAGCAAAAGTAGCTCTTCCTCCATTAGAAAAGGTCAAAATAGCGGAGAGTTAATCTGTCACGAGTTAGCCCCTATCAATGAGGATTCAAGCAATGTTTGCACTTGCATCATGATACAGAAACCGCGGTAAACTACGGTTTGGTTGGTCCACCCTCGCCCACAAGTTATCTCACCTACAAGTCATTTTCACCTACAAGTCAACTCGCATACGGGTCGGTATACAAGTTGGTCGCGTGTATACAAGCATTTGTAATAAAGGAGCGTCAAGTTGACAGACTGTTCGTATTTAAATTCCTATCAAACGGTAAAATCCTTGTCAGGAGTCACAGGCCTATGTAATTGAGGTTACCAACGTTATCAACTTTAAAAAAATTAACTGTTTGAAAGCACACTTCAGCAAACGCACAACAACGTAAAATCGAAAATATTTCCCGTTTTCTTAAAATAAAATGTAAAATTACATGCAAAATTTGCATCTGATGGTTATCAGAAAAGAAAAATAAGGCTGAAATGGGATAGAAAATTAACAAGAGTAGCTGATGTCCCACACAAAAGCTAGCTTAATCTAAAATATCAGAGATGGACAAACTAGTCAAACTATGTGATATAGCTGACCTTTAGGCTTTCAATTTAGTTTGTAACCAAACATATTGATCGTTTAAGAAGTTAATGATTGCAAAACAGCAAAATACTGAAAACAGAATTTTGTCGATTGTAATTAAGTAACACATGCAGTGACAAACTGAATAATAACGTTCTCATTCACCACTAAGCGTACCTTGCTTCCAACTAAAAGTTCTTCAGTTTCAAAGTCAATTTCATTTGATGTTAATGTACAGTTGTCACCACCAGTCTTCATAACATGTTTAAACACCTGTGATTGATTGAATATGTATCAATATACAAGAAATAGTCGTATTTAGCTAAGTCTGCACTAGGGCCAAATTAAGAACTAGTAGACAGTATATCAGCTAGTTGTTTCATGATTAGGCCATTAGTACTAAATTCAAAACCTTCAGTGCATTTAGAACTGTGTAGCATGCCTCCAGTTTGACTGCCTATGGCTGTGCATATTAGTCCAATTCTTGGGGAATTACACATTTCACAGTATTGTTAATCACATATAATGCCAGTTCCATGCTGCTGATTCTGAAGGTATTTTGATACATAAGGCATATCCACAGCAACCTTTTTTGATGCTGTAATGGTTACACTTGTAACAGTTACATGTCTTGCACTGAATATGATGAAGCCTGTATGATGAGAACCCCCATTAAGGGGGGGACTTTTACTGAGAGCTTGAGATTTCTTTGTATTTAACCACAGTTAAGATTACAGATCTCTTACTTTTATTAGTATTACACTTACTCTGACCAATAGCTCAGGGTCATTCTGTTGTAAGCTTGTTGATCATTCACTCTATCCTATTTGGGTTTTAAACCACTGTTGTGCAATTTACAAAACCTTAGGTAGCTAAAAATGGTTACTGAATCACCAATTTACTGAATTTACCAATTTCAAGGAAACATATAAAAAAGTGTGAAAATAATAATCCATGGAAAAAAGGGAGTTAAAAAGCAAAAATAAAATTTTAAGCCACCTTAAGTAGATACAATATTAATAAGAGTCATCCTGTAATTTACTTAGCCCTTTAACTCCCAAGTTTTCATCTGTAATTCTCCTTACTGTCTGCCATACAGTTCTTGTGATGTTAGTTTAGAGAATTTGGTATTGGATCAACTAATAATCCATTCATTAAGATTTTTCTTTAATTTCATCACTTGTTTGCTTCATATAGTGTATATATGTATAGTATATAGCTATTGTAAGGAGAAATTCTGTCTTGGTCACTCACAGGAGTTAAAGGGTTAAGGTAGATTTCACTTTAGAGAATGGTGATGCAAGACCAGGATCAAACTGACACTTTTGCTCCAGAGTTTAGCACTGATTACTGGACCAGTAACACTTGAATATTGTATAACACTTTTCTCAATGTAGTTGTTCTTCCAAAAGATCCCTACCACTGATTTTAACAGGATGATATGTGAAAGCAATTAATTCTGACGCACCATTTCTTCATCATCTTGTCGGTCAATAATGGTAATCATGTAAAATAATGGTTCTTCTTCAAAACAGCATTCAGCAAACCCTTCCTCTGGTGGGCCACAAGCTGTTGAGAATTAATTTCATTACATATCAAATAAATAAAAGTAAAATACATTGATATAAAAACAAATATAAAATGAAGATTGCTTAATCATAATTTCATAAGCTAACCACATCAACAGCCTGACAGGCTGAGAAATTATAATATGTTGCTCTCACAAAGTGGGAGTGACAAATACCTGCAGCCTGAGAGAATTATAACAGAAATAACGGCAGCTAATAACTGCTATTTGCATGAACATGAATTGGATATTAATTGGTGAATATCAAATGAAGTGCTTGGCACTGAATTCGCTTAAACCCTCCACTTTGTCAAAAAAATCAATAACTTCTTAAACTATTGAGAATTATAGTCTCAATAAAATTTCAAAAATTTTTGAAGTTCATGTCTATCAAAGCTTGAATGGTGAAGTTTGAGTGTTGCATGGTGGTTTCCATGTCATTAGCTGAAAAAAAAACACCATAATTTAAGTTGCTATGTTACATAGTTATTACGGTCCTGATTTCAGGTTAAAAGGTTTAGAAATTCCTAAGCTGTCTAACTTATAATGTGTAATGGCCTCATTTAAACAAAAACTTGCAAGGACGTAAAGAGTGGGCTATCTTTAGTTTATCTGTCATAAAGTCAGGCCTGTAGGCACAGCACAGGATCAAAAAGAAAATGCTGGATAAATGTAAAGGCCTTCAATGTACCATGCTGGACAAAAAATAGGATAAAAATAATATTGGTAAACATTAATTTTGACCTCGTGATTTTTATAAAACTGGTACTTCTGTATTGGGTAAAATCTTTTATTGGACAACTTGCTCAGGGCTTCATGATTTCTTAATTTTTAATTGCTTACCTTCACCCATAACTCCATACTGTTTTTTATCCCTGGTTAGCAGCGTACCCTGAGATCAGCAAAATCAGCACAGGTTTATGATACACCATAGTCTATTGACTGATTGTAGCTATTCTTGAAATTTTTAGCGAAAATTTAAAAAGCTCATCCCTAACCACAAAGCCTATTAACCTTACTAAAGTTTTCAGATGATCTCATACAGATGACATTTACTCTTACAAGTGCAATACACATTCAAAATTGCAATCATTATCACTGAAAAGATACACATTTATGTCATGTTTACAAAGTAACACTGTCAGTGCACCCAACAATGGTAAAGTTTCATATCCCATAACTGATTCAACCTCTTTATATCATACAGCTAAATGGGCTGCTTCAAAATTTCAATACAGGTTATCTTTTAATCTACCACTTAGAGAAGTTTTACTATGTTTAATTGACAAACTCATAATTCATCAAATATTTTTCCTTGCACACAATTAGTTTAATGCATAATGTGATTGAACATAACCCAGCTAAAACTGGGAAATATCCAAGGATACACCCCAATTTTCAAACAATACATCTCTTATGATAAAGCATCTTGTGTTTAAAATTTAACTCAAGATGAAAGAGCATTTAGCTACTGTTACAGAAGATGGGATGTGTTTGTTTGTTCATGAAGTCATACCACAAAACACTAAAAAGGTTAACATCCCATGCAGAAAACAGTTAGTTGTTCATAAACATTTTTCGCATGTGCTTCAAAAATATTTGAAGGAAAAGAAGAGCCTATATTTGGCACAGAAATATACTTGTGTATTTGTCTTTTTACACTCTCTGTTTCTCAAAGCACACATCTCAGAACCGATAACATTGGCAAACAAATATCCGTGCATATTTTTATGCCAAATAAAGGCTATTATTATTAAGCATGGAAACTGCCTCGTTGCTCCATGGGGGAGGGGAGGGTTAATTGAGAGAGTTGGAGTCGTCAGTCTTCAGTGTAATATTGAGAGAAGAAGATAACCTACAATCTCTCATTTAAATAGCAAGTGCAGTGGCTATCGAGATCCAAATTCACGCTACTTATCGAGGAACGGGGAATTACAGAGGGACATGTACATAAAGCTTATATTGTTTCGTCAATCTTGAAAAGATCCAATGGGCTCTGACCTGAACCATTAAGGTCGTTAGAGTACATGCAACCATTACTAGTAACTACGCAACACAGAATAGAAAGAATTGAAACCAAACTCTACCTGAAACCAAGATCCGTCGTCAAAGAAACACAAATACACCAAGCCTTCAAGCTCTACATTAGTCATAGTATTAAGGCAACGGAAGTGCTCAAACTTTACCTCGCCCCAGATTTCCCTCCTAATACGCGGTCATCTTAGGAGAGACTCGATCGGGGGTAGAGGAAACAAACAGCGCCGAGAGGGCTTTACTTCGGCACGAAGAGTTAGCAGAGAAGAGTATTCCTTTAAGGTTAATCTGAGAAAAAACGGAAAGGCTGAAAAAGATTGTTGTGGATTTACTCAGAGGGAGCAGGAAGCGGTCCCCTTCAGGTATGTTTGTGTGTCCAGTTATACATTTATTTAATAGATCGGTTATCTTTTTTCAACCTCACAATCTTCACAGTATCCGCTAATCAAAAGTTTCGTTCATCGCGTTTACGATGGTCTCCATAACCCAAAAATCATGCAGCTGGTATATCAAAATGACCCAATTGTTAACAAACCGCTAAGATTAATACCGTAAACTACTTCTCATCGTTGCCTAAAAGCGTTGTTTGCAAGAGCTGAGTCGCCTCAGTAATAATGAGCTTTTAGATTATTCGAGTTGAATTAAATATGACCAGGTTTGAGGAAGGAGGGTAGAAACAAAATAAGCCACAAAATCTGCGAGTGAAGAGGACGGTGTAGTCTGATAAATACATTTTTTTTAGTTTGTATGACCTGATAACATCTGAATTACCCCTACAGTTTCAACTACATCTAATTTTGACATGAATACGCATGAATTCCGCCTTTGCACTCACCTAAGATGCTTCCACGGTGAATGAACGCTTGAATCATATCAACTCTAATGTCCAATAACGATTCAGTTACAAATGCATTATCATCGGCTTATTCAAACCATAATAAAACCCAACCGAAAGTGAAACTCGTAAGTTTCTGTTCTATAAAAGGTCTTGGGGGTTTTATGCCCGATAATCGAAAATGATAGAGTTCATCCAACCGCATCAGTAAGTCAAACAAATTGAGCACAATCGAATTATATCGGGATTGATTTTTTTTTACAGGACTTCGTGATTTTTTTCCTTGAATCTGATGAAATTTGAGTGATTTAACCCTTAACGTACCAACTACGCATATATGCGTAGAAATATACGACGTGATTTTAACGCGCAATTGTGGTGAATTATTGGGGCTTGGGCACTGGTGTTTCATTTCAAATGACTTAACATAAAGTATAGTTTGAGGCAGTGAAAGAAAATGGCCGACTTGGCGAGTTGTATTAAAGAATTTGGAAATTTAAATTTCGAGTGTGTATTGTCTGTGGTTTTTTAAAAATGGCGGCGTGCGAAATATCTCCTGAAGCATTCTGTGCGACTGGAAGCGATGAAAACGATGTGGAAATCGAATTTATCGACGAAGACAATTTACCTTTGGCTTGTATCAGTGTTTTGGAGCATCCCGAGTCAGAAGAAGAGATTGACTCCGATGATTTGGCAGAATCTAGTGGGGATGAGTCAGAAGAACTGGAAAGTGAACAAGATGAAGACCCAGAGGAGGAAGAAGAAGTATCGGCATAGAGCGAAGAAATAACGAGAAGGGATGATATTGTTTTCAGTGAACTCGTGGGATTGGCAGCAAATGTAAACATTAGATCTTTGGCATCAAACAAAGGGTTTTTTGATCTGTTCTTCACTGCTCAGGTATGGGAGTTGTTAGTTGCTCGGACTAATCTGTATGCAAATCAGAAACGAGGAGCTGCAGAAAAGTCTGTGTGGTATCCAGTGTCTGTGGAAGAAATGAAAGGTTGGGTTGCCATTTATTTGTGTATGGGAATTATTAACATGTATTAAAAGTCAGCTCATATGCAAGGCTAATGCTGTGTGGTATTATAAGATTTTTTTCTATATCATAGAAGTGTGTGTTTCAAATGCACACATTTTGGAGAGAAAATCTCCATGTCATACCACTAGAACTGCTTTAGACCTCAGAAAGTCCTTGATAAGTCACTTGATTGAAGGAAAGTCCTTTAGAAGGGACACTCAAATGCGGCCACCACCCACTTCTGAAATTAGATTTAATCAAGAACACTTTCACCAGCTGGTAAGCAACGACAAAAGATCTACTTGCAAGGTTCACTTACAGCATGTAGGTACCTTTTATAGCTGTGCAGTGTGTGGAGTATGCATGTGTCTGGAGCCCTGTTTCCTCAGGTATCACACATTGAGAGACTTCTATTTCAATGATTAAGATCATGAAGGTCCCAGATGTCGGAAAGAAGGAAGAGGGAGGCCTCGCACCAGAGGAAGAGGAAGAGTTCTCCAAAGTTGAACATGCATAGACAAATTTGATAATTGAAAAGAAATAACAAAGGCAAAGTGATATATGAGACAATAAAAGTGACTTACTCTAAGACTTTCTCAAGATTAGATTTTGTTACTAATAAGATAATTCATGCCCTTACAATAATCTTAATGGGTCAAATTTGTGTGCAGAGAAGTGTTTTTAACCCTTAAAATGATATTTTTAATGTGTGAAGGTCATGATTTTTTGAGAAAAAGCAATAGTTCTGAAATTTATTTGTTACAGGATTCTTTCAATTAGTCCTTCTTGAAACTTCCAATAATTATGCTAATTATGCATGCCGTGACGTCATCATATGATGTGTATCCCATAATAAGTTAAACAAATTGATAGAAAATTTTCCACTGGTTATGAACATATATGGTCATATGGGGCTTTATTAAAAAGAAATTGATCTACAACTGATTTTGTAAACATCACTCGGGTTTCTCCAAAAAAAATAACATGCCCGTGGTATGTTAAGGGTTAACATGCAATCTGACGGTGGCATAACGTTTAATAGATCTTCATTTTACTGTCTGACCATACTCAATAGACAACTGACTCTATAATCGATTGATTTATTTCTCTGGCTAATCAAAGTAAATTAAATTACAAATCGTTCGGTTTCACGCTTCAGTAAGTTATGGAGATTTTGGCTGGGGTAGACTGAGAAATGATAATACTGATAATGTTCCAAATCTAAAATCTTATAGCTAGCACTGTATTAGGCAGACCTCAAGTTAAACAGTTACAATGCGTGAGGCGGACACTGACTGAGGTACAAACCCCCATTTCACCACGAAATAAATCTACTTCCAATACCTCTATATTATTCAATGGACTTTGACGCAAAAAATGAGTTCATTGGTTAAAACATTTATTAACCTATTTTTTTAGATTTCGCTCGGCACCAGTTTGCGACCAAATAAATTGGAGTGATCATTCTCTCCGGTATTTTTAACTTCTATTTAGCAAAATATACCGAAAGAAATGCTATATAAGCCATAGAATGATAATTTTGGCGGAATGCTCGGGTAAGAAACCGAAAGAACTTCATCGCATGCATGAGAGAACGTTAAATTATTGATGTTCTCTGTTATCACTGTACAACAAAACTACTCATCAAAGCAAATAGCTCCTTTAAGAGGAAATATTCCGAGGTACCGAACGATTTCAAACGAAAGGTTAGATTTAGGATAAATGTGTAATAAAAACAGACAATTTCCCGACAATTTCAAAACAATAACCCAATATCTGCTGCAGATATTGGGTTATCATGTTGAGTTCAAAGTCTGCCCAGTTTCCAAGCTCCTAGTCCGTGTAGTGTTCTCAAATTTTTGCAAACTTAGAGAAAAGTGTCCTCTTGCAGATGGTTTAGGAAAGGTTATGATAAAGCACTTATCGAATTGGGTTTTTGCATGATATCCTGAATTATCAAACCCCGTGTCTGTGTTATCTGCCTCGGCCTTCGGTTTTGGCAGATAACTCAGACCTCGGTTTTGATAATTCATGATATCATGCTACAGCTCATCCACTAACTGCTCATTATTATTATTATTATTATTGTTTTATCATTATTATCTAAACGAAGAGCTGGCAATCTTTGTACGCTCTAAGTGCACTTTACTTGAAACGCTTGGCAATGGTTTGGTTTACTTTGATTGATAATCGTTTGAACGTTGATTATATCAAACGAACCAAGCTTTATCATCTTCGAAGTATTTTAAGAAAATAAATTTTTTATTTCACTTGAAAAGCTTGAATTTTGAGGTAGTGCAATACAGACATTGTGATTTTCATTTTCTTGCATCAAAGACGTCATAAATTGGTTGTAGGCTGCGAGCTCTAAAGCTCACTATGAACATATCATAATCACGCACGAAGCAGTTTTCACCTAAAGTATTCGGTTTTAAAAAGGGTATTGAACCCTAAGCGTTGAAATATTCTTTTTCTACCCTAGGTTTACTATGGCTACCGCAGCACCAACAGGTTCCTCGAGCAAGGAGACAACTAACTACGCTCGCCTATGTCGTCTGCTGGTTGATGTGGGTACCCAGGCCCTTAGAGACACATTTGATGCCATCCATCCACCAGCCAATCTTCACACAATTTTGACGGCCAATAAAACCATCTTACAGTCTCTAAGAACAAGAAAGGTAATAAACGCGACGCAATGGGGAAAGCTCTTCCCAGCCATCCCTACTTCAGTTTCATCGGCCAGTTTCGACATTACACTTTTAATGGTTCTGTTGCGAAACGTATGCAGTTTACATCCTCCTGCAACAGGCTGGGATACGCTTCCTGCTGTTACAGACGTAAGCCGTGAAGCTGATATCGCCCGCGTTAAATATTACAGAAACACGGTGTACGGTCATGCTGAGTGCGCTTCAGTAGATGATGCAACGTTCAACACATACTGGGGTGACATCCGGAACACTCTGGTGAGAATTGGGGGTTCAAAGTACAGAGCAGACATTGACAATCTTGAAACTGAGTGTATGGATCCCGAAGTTGAAGAACACTGCAAAGAACTTCTCAGCCAATGGAAAAAGGATGAAGAAAACGTTAAAGATAAACTAGATGAACTAATCAAGAAGCTGGATGATTTGAAAACATCAAGTCTGCCTCAAAGGAAGGAATCTGCCATCGAAGGTTTAGGAAGCCTTAATTTTATTTCTTTCTTGTTCAAAGCTTGTATATCTCAATGGTCTACGAGCTATTACAACGTAAAAGACCAGCTGAAAAGAGGGCAAAGAGAAAGAATGTTTTTAATATTTTCATATCTCATTGACACCAAAACTTAACCAGGTTTTTAACATGTTTTGTTAAACACGGCTTTAACTTTTTTCTTCATTTAATCTTCCAATATAGGACATTGAAAATACAAGCTAGTTAGATACTACTTGAAACCTATGAAAAATGTAGTTTTTCTGTTCTCTGTTTCTGATTTAACGGTTTAACTTAAGATGTTTTGCTCATGTGAATGGGATATCAGTTCCTTAAAGTTCGCCTTTATGTTTAAGTAAGTACTTAGCATATGTTACGGTTATTATATCAATGTAATTGCGTGATGAATATCTGGCTTATAGGTTTTTTCAAACATCAGCCGTAACCATTTTGCACATTCAAGTAGAAAAGTTAAACAGTATCGTTTTACTAGGTGGATGAATGCTCCCTCTTTATCCCAACAAGCATGCGCAAGACCATTCAAGATGCTGACCTCTTCCTCAAGTATAAATGTTACCAATCGTGTTGTTTGATCACAGTCAGTTTCATAGCTATTATAGTTCCTTTGACAAATCAAATTTATCAATTAATTCCAAAGTTTATTTTCGTGCTAATTCATTGCACTCGAATTGGTTTTGAATCAAAGGAAATGCAGCAGCACATCCTTGGTGAGATTTTTTTTAAGGAAAAAAAACTTACAGCTTCAATATCTTTCTGAAATAGGACAAGAAGAGAACATTCCATAACTCACTAAATACTTCTTTACTTCAGCAAACAACCTAACTTTCACTTCAACCTTTCATTTGCGTTTTCTTAAGGTAATTCCACTGTACTGAAAGAGCTATCGCAGGAATCAGCAATGTGTAGAGAATATGGCCATGAGACCGAACCTCTGGATCGCTATTGTAACAACTGTAAAGTTCCCATTTGCGACAGGTGTGGAGAGACTCGTCACACTCATCACACTAAAGTGAATATCCAACAGGCTGCTGAAGAAGAGAAATTGAAGATGGAAGAGACTGTAGAACAAGTGAAAATACAAATTGTTGACCTTGAGATGGATATAAAAACAACAACAGAACTATTTACAATAAGTAAGGAAAAAATCGCTACAGCTCGTAAGGATGTTTGGACAACAGTTGAAGAACTCATTCGTGTATTAAAGGAGCACGAAAGAACCATATTGACCGAATTAGACGTTATTGAAAAAGCACAACAAAGAGATTATTTGACACAACTAGAGCACTTGCAGGCATCTGTACATGAATTAAAAAGCTCTGTGCGAAATTGCGAGGAAATCCTACACAAAAACGTCAGCGTTGAAACTGTTCAAGCGCAACAGGCCGAAATTGAGAGGTCTAAAGGTGTTCTAAAAGCATTAAAACTAGACATTTATAGGCCGTGTCACCTTTGCTATCAGGCAGATGAAGACTATATCGAGAATTTGACATGTAAAGCTCCTGGTAAAGTTTTTGTCTCTAAAACTGATCCTTTACGGTCAATTTTAGAATGGAATAACAGGAGAAAAGCTGAAGCTGGATATTACACACTCTTTGACATTGTAACAATTGATTCAGGTGGGGAAAGTTGCCACCAGAAGATCGATGAGATCAAGGTGACAGTTCGGACTCCGTCGGGGATGGACCTCGACCTTAAGTATAATCACTGTTGCCAAGGGAGATATACCTATTATTATAGACCACTCTGCGATGGAAAACATAAAGTGACAGTATCAGTTAACAGTCAATCACCTTTAGGTAGTCCCTGGAGTCTATGGGTGGGACCATATGAGTATTCCTTCTTTATTGATTTTGAACTATGGGGAATAGTACGATTCGAAGAACCCTGCGCTGTTGCAATAGACGAGAGGACAGGGAATTTGGCTTTGGCAGATCGAAAGAAACAAAGGGTGCAACTTTTTAATTATGATTTGAAATATCTTACAGAACTCGGTCAGAATGGACCAGCAGCGATTAAACTAACAAATCTTACATCAGTTGCATTTACCCGTTTTGGTAACGTCATTGTCATTGCTTCTGGAAGCGTAATTTGTTTCACAATTAGTGGTGAATTTACAGGGTGCATCAACCACAAAACTCTCAATTCTCCTTTTTCACTGACTATTGCGTTTGATGGCAGTATGATAGTGTGCGACATTGGTGACAAGTCAGTCAAGGTCCTCTCCCCTGACGGGACAGAAATGCTACAGTCCTTCAGTGCTTTAGATTGTGATGATTCCCCGTGGGAAGCTGTTTGTTTCCAAGACATGTTCTTCGTGTCTTACCCCACAGCGGGTTGTGTTAAAACATTTAACAATAACGGGGACTTTCTATTTGATATTGGGAATGTAGGTAAAGGACAATTGAGTAAGCCTCGGGGACTCGCTGTTGATATCTTTGGGAATTTGATAGTTTGTGACGAGGAAAACAAAATGTTGAACGTTTACAAACTAAATGGAACCTGTGTAGGAAGAATTATGTGTGATTTTTTTGGCTGTCCCTGCTCTATTGCTGTCTACCCAAGCATTCAACCGGCACGGATTATCGTTTCTGATCTTGACAGAAAAAGCTTTATTAGCGCTCAATAACTGCAAATATCAAGCGTTCTAAATTAACCATTACCTTTTTGTCGCATTAAAGAAATATCCTCTTCCTATCCGAACTTAGATTTCCTACTGATTTGTGCGATTTTAAAGATGAAAAAGGAGACAGAAGCTGATGTTATATTTGCTAACAAAATTCTTAGCGCCTTTCAGGGCACCCACCTATATTTTACTAAACCGGCCTTCGAAAAGCATGAGAGTTTGGATCTGCCATAGTGTTGTTATTTGAAATCGCTTACGAATACGTGAGAAACGAATGGCTGTAAAGGTTGGTTTTTGATGTCTGGTAAGGTTTGTAAGCACTTTTCGATGCATAGTTTTAATATTGCAATAAATAAAAGAAACTATTTGGAGAACATACGTTCATTTTCCTGTACATGTAACTAAATGAAAGGGCTGCCAATTTCCAATCGAAGTATATGAAAGGAATACCTTTTTTAGTCAAAACCACGATGGTTCTAAAGTTACTACCAGCGGGCGTGCCTGCATTGATTCTTTTGGAAGCATTGTCCCTTCCTCCTCAGAACTTAGTTGAGGCCACTAATCAGTGAGAGAACGTGGCACGTGGCAGGTCTGTTAAGTTCTTAATTTGCCGATGTATTGGAAATGCATGGTAGTCAGTGGCATACCTGCTGGTTATAAGCCCCCCCTCCCCCTCCCCCCCCACACCACCTGAAGTTTGAAGGATAGAATAAGAAAGGCGAGATAACTACGTTTAAACATTGCCGCGAGTAAAATCACACAATTCTTTCAAACCTGTTAGATTAAGACTGGAATAATGTAGCAACTTTGTAATCTCGTGCATTAGTCGTTCGCTTGTAAGGAAACGGGTCGAAAGATTTGGGGCGAACTAGTGAAGGTGGAGGCGAACTTGCTTCGCGTCAGGGGACGAACTCGCAGAAGTGATAGGGGGCGAACTTGCAATGGGGCGAATTCAGCATAAGTCAATATGAAAAGTGCATCGGATCTCTGGCTGGTAATGATATTGCTCTGTTATGGATCTCCATTCATGACAAAAACTTTGCAAAACAACTTCCAAAATACCCTCACTACGTCAGATCTAAGTTCACGAGACAATGCTAGCTTTACCTAAGGACAAACCGTCACATTTGAAAGTAAGTTTGTAGGTTTTTAAGCATGTTGTCGTGAATGGTTAAAATGTTCATTTCACAGAACTGTCTTTTAGTTCGGCTTAACATTACCATGTATGGTTATGTAACCAGAACAAACAATGCTTTCTTTTTCTTTCAGCTCTGGCCGGCAGTATTTATTCACGTTATTACCTACCAGTAAAAGAAAGGAACACGGAGAGTGTCAAAAAGGGATTACTTCAATGCGAGATTTTTACGAAGGACTCCACTCATCTGGTTGCTAGGATCAAGGAAAACACCTTGACTGCGATGTACGACATTGATTGCATAACGATGATGTTGGACTAAAGGGGTTCAAAAAAAGGAATTACTTGCACTGGAACAGATCATTCCTAAGAACAGAGCTGAAACAGTACAGATACGTCCGGTACATGTGGCTCTGTCTGCCCTGTATGCGATAAACAAGTAATCGCAAGTGCTCTTGTGCAATTAAGGATTAATTTAAATTGTTTTCAAAAAGTTCTACGAGTTGCCGTTGTCGCAAATTTCTTATGGGATTTTTGAAAATACACGTGAAATTAATCCTCAATTGTCCTCAGGCCCATGCGATTGTATGTAAAAAACTTGGCTCTTCCTCCCTTGGAAAAGGTCGGAATAGGGGAGAGTTAATCTGTCACGAATTGGCCCCTATCTATGAGGATGTAAGAAACATTTTTGATTGCTTAAAGGTATGGAAACCACAGAAGGCTACGGTTTGATTGGTTTACACTCGCTCACAACTTTGCTCGCCCACATGTCATTTTCACCCACACATGAGCTCGCCTACGGGTCACTTCGCTCACAAGTCATCTCACCTGCAGATCAGTTTCGCTACACCTCATCTCGCTTACGGCGGGTCGGTCTGCCAACAAGTTAACTCACCTATAAGTTAGTTTTGACAACAATTCATCTCACCTACGGTTCGGTTCGTCCAATAGTCAACTCGCAAACAGGCCAGTTTTGCTTAAAAGTCATCTCGCATACGGGTCGTTTCGCCTACTAGTTGGGATTACCAATCTTAATAACGTTATAAAAAACAACTGTTTGAAAGCACATTTGAGAAAACGTTCAGAGACGTACAACCGAAAATGTTTTTCAATTTCCACTCAAATTGTAGGGACCTAAACAAGATACTGAAGGAATCCTTGAAATAAGAATTGAATGGCATCTGATGGTTATCACCAACACCATGATAAATAAAATGGGTGAAAACGGTCTAAAAAATTAACACGAATAGCCAATGTCCCAATGTAAAACTTAAATCTAAATCATCACAGATAGATGGGATGAGACTCTTAACTTTGCAATCACAACTTACTTGGAAAACAGCGAAATACTGAGAAAATAATTTTATCAACAATATAGTGATACAGTAACATACTGAAAAAAATTTCATTCACACTATGCATACCTTGCTTCAACTAAAAGTTCTTCAGTTTAAGGTCAATTTCATTTGATGTTAATGTACAGTTGTCACCACCAGTCTTCATAACATGTTTAAACACCTGTGATTGATTGAATTTGTATCAATATACACAGATGGTAGTATCAAAGAAGGTCTCTACTAAGGCCAAATTAAGAACTAGGAGACTGTGCATAATGTCATCATCAGCTAGTTCCTTCATGATTAGGCCATTTGTACATAATTAAAAACCTTCAGTGAATTCAGACTTGTCTCACATGCCTACAGCTCAACTGCCTAGAGCTGCGCATACTAGTTCAATTCTTGTAGAAGTACACTGGTTGCCAATACAAAAGAGATTTATTGTCAAAGTCCTGTTAATCACATATAAAGCCAGTTCCATGCTGCTCATTTTGAAGTATTTTGATACATAAGGCATATCCACAGCAGCCTTTCGTGATGCTGTTGGTTACACTTGTCAGAGTTGAGTGTCTAATTAACCTAAACATGGTGAAACCTTTATGATGTGAACCCCCCATTAAGGGGGAAGAATTTGTACTGAAATAACATTGTATTATATCCCTTTGCATTTAATTACAATTAAGATTAAAAATTTCTACTTCTTCTTCCACTTGTACTAATAGCTTTGGGTCATTCTGCTGTAAGCTTGTTGATCTTTCACTTGTTTTTAACCACTGTTGTGCAATTTATAAAAACTCAGGAGGTTAAAAATGGTTGGGCATTTTACTGATACCAATTTCAACAAAACATAAAAAAGTGTGAAAACAACAATCCATGGGAAAAAAGGTGTTTGAAAATGAAAGTACCATTTTGAGCCACCTTAAGTAGACACAATATTAAAAAGAGTCTTCCTGTAATTTACAAAAGGTAGATTTCACAATTGAAAATGATGATGCAAGACCAGGGTCAGACCTGCACTTTAGCACCACAGTTTTAACACTGATGACTGGACCACCAAGCCACTAACTCCCCTCCACCACACAAACCTTGAACATTTCTAGGAATAATAATTTCCTCAATGTGATTGTTCTTCCAGAAAACCCCTGACATTGATATTAACAGGATGACATGTGAAAGCAATTAATTCCATCTTCTGATTCTTCATCAACTTGCTGGTCAATAATGGTTAACATGTAAAATAATGGCTCTTCTTCAAAACAGCATCAGCAAAATCAGCACAGGTAAAATGATTCACCATGAACACTATAGACTTTCTATCACTATTCTTGAAATGTGGGATAAAATTACAAACTCATCCCTAAACATACAGCATATTAACCTTATTAAAGTTTTCAGATGACCTAATGCAGATGGCAATTATCCTCGCAAGTGAAATACACATACAAATTACAGTCATTATCATTGAAAAGATACACATTTTTTTTTATTCCTCCAATTCCTAGCTGATACATAGGTAGTTATGTAAATATAAAGTGATATAACATAGTATCAGATAAAGATTTACAAAGGAAAAAATGCGTAGAACAGAAATTACAGCCACTTGATACAAGTGCACTGCCCTGCTACTTACCATCCCCTCAACCGCCCGTAATCGAGACACAAAGGGTCTACAAAAAGCTACTTGCCATCAGCGCCTTTAAGGCCCCTGGGCCTGATGGGATTCCGACTCGTATTTGGAAAGAATATGCTGCTGAGCTCGCTGAGCCGATCACGCGAATATTCAACACCTCTATTGCATCAGGCTCCTTCCCTACTGCATGGAAAGACTCTAATGTCACACCGGTACCCAAGGTTACGCCCATAACCGGTAGGGAAGATTTAAGACCTATCTCCAATCGTCTAACTGCAATCGTCTCTAAAGTCCTGGAGGATTTCGTAGTTGAATGGCTAATTGAGGATGTTGTGCACCTCATCGATTTCAGCCAATTCGGCTGCCTCAAAGGAACTTCAACCATCTATTGCCTGTTGGATATGATGCACAACTGGTTGTCCTCTATTGACAAACCAGGTATGTTCTTAAGGGCCTGCTTCCTGGATTTTAGTAAGGCTTTTGACCATATTGACCACACTATCTTAGTCAATAAACTCATCCACCTTTGGGGTCCGTGGTTTTATTATCCGTTGGATTTGCAGTTTTCTTTATGGCCGTCGCCAAGCTGTTAAGATTAAGAACATTGTATCCCCTTGGTTGCCCGTGCACGCTGGAGTCCCGCAGGGCACTAAGCTTGGCCCCATCCTGTTCCTCCTGATGATTAACGATCTCGCGATTGAAACCCATTACTATCGAGCCACTTGAAATATGTAGATGACCTAACAATATCCGAGGTCATCCCATCAGGCGGTACATCGTCCCTTCAGAAAGATCTTGACGCCATTGCACAGTGGTCGTCGCGCAATAATATGAACCTCAACCCAAAGAAGTGCAAGGAACTTGTGATTTGTTCGCTTAGAACACGGCCAGATCTTGGCCC